GAGGCCATGTGTTGCAAGGTTTTCCCAGAAGAGCAGTGAGAAACAGCACACGGCTGAGGGCTGAAACATCACAGCTCATTTAAGGGCATCATCAGGTAGAAACAACAAGGATTTAAATGGGGGCTCACTCTTTTTGTTCCATCAAGAGTTTTTAAATGGCTGTGGCCATTAATTCTTGAATTTACTCAGTCCTGATAGAAAATCAGGGCATCAGAAACTATCATTTCATGAACAGCCCCCATTAAAAGCACATTAATAATCTATAATGGGTAAAGCATATGCCTTTAAAAAGCTTTGCAGCTTGATTCTCTGTGGCAAAGACATGGGCCTTCCCCAACCTAATTACAAAGCAATCAAACAATTTAATTAATCTAGAAATCACTTTCTTAACAATAACTGCCTCTGAAATGAGGCTCCCTGTGTAGTGCCATGAGGTAAAGTATGGTTTTGTTATACGGCTTGCTTATTAGCCATTCCTGTGCCCCATGGGGTTCATGGAGTTAATTACCTACCTAATGCTTGACCACTACGGAGCCTTTCGCTAGCAGGTCAGAGCCATCAGCCAAGATATCAGCAGTCTATAAAGTGTCCAAGCACTCAAACTTGCAAGAGCCAGCAAATCCCTGGAGCAGCAGGATTTGAGTTATAAGCAAGAGCTGCACATATGGGCAGAGAATTAACTGGCACCAGTTTTCATTTGAGAGTCTCCCAGGTATTGCTTTGCAGATGGGTGGATGAATTCAGACAGCAGTGCTGTGAGGAGTGAAGGTCATGTATAGGACTCTGCTTTCAGTCCATCTTGGCTCTCTTATCCCAAAGAAGCTTCCTGCACAAGTGCAATAGTCAGGTCCTCATTTCAGAGTTGAAGGATAGAGATGACATGCTTTATAACAGAACTGTTCTAAATTAACAGTATTTTGATCACTGTGTGATCAAATAATGTCTCTAAATCTTCAGAGACCAAGTAGAAATCAATTTTTATTTCAAATAAGAACAAAGAATGCAAAGATTGACTTCCACAGGTCTAATCTGCTAAATCTTGTAATTTCTCCCTGGGGAAAGCTGAATTTTCTGTAACACATGCCACAAAAGTCTACAGGATGCTCATTTGTTTTTTTGATTTTTTTTTTCCTCCTCTGTGATCACCACAATCTGACTTGCCTCCCAAGATGCCTGCCATTGGGCTAGTCATGCTATTCTTTTAGTTTATCCATGTGGGAGATGTCAATCACTTTTTCTTTGTATTCTTTTTTCATCACTTATTTCTAGCCTATCACTTCTTTTCTTTTTGGGGAGGGGGTCCAGTTGTGGGGGCTGAACTCTGGGCCTGGGCGCTGTCCCTCAGCTCTTCAGCTCAAGGCTAGCACTCAACCACTTGAGCCACAGCACCACTTCTGGCTTTTTTTTTCTTTTTGCTTATGTGGTGCTGAGGAATCGAACCCAGGGCCTCAGGCATGCAAGGCAAGCGCTCTACCACTGAGCCAACTTCCAGCCCCGCCTATCCCTTCCTATACTTGGTTCATCTCCCCGAATATTTTTGCTAGTGGCCTTGCATGTCCAATCCAGTTCTTCCTTCTCTGGTGCTAGTCTGGCCACCCATACCAGGTTTACTAATACCCAATTTAAATCTCTGACACCTCTCTCTTGCATTCAAGCATCTTTTAAGATCAGCCACTAGTTAGTACCAATGACCATAGTCCACAGCTCATTGGCTTTACCAGTCTGAATTTCTTTCAGCCAGGAAGCCTGACTCTTGAATCCTACTACTGTTTGAGTTGTTTTCTGACCCTCTTAGAAGTCCCTTCTATGTCTCCTGATAATCTAAAGCTTGCTGAACTATCCTCAGTTGAACTCTAGCCTACTCCATTCTCCTCATGCTCTCTACAACTTCATGACACTTAAAGATCCTTAATTACAATATGCATACAAATGTGCATCAAATAACAGCATCCCCTTTTATTCCATTGAATCTCATTTTTCATCACATTCTGTCAACTCTGTTGTCAAAACTTCCAAAGATCACCTACAAGATTATATCACCTAGTTGCCATGTTAGTTTATTTAGGTACAGTCTGTGATAATCAAGTATTTATGGAATTGCCTGATGTGCATCTCAGAAAATGTCTAGTACCTGAGGAACACATGACTGTGGGTGTGGATTATGTATACTTACGTTTCAATCTGACCTTTCAGTTGCACATGAAATGAGGAAAGATCTGGCATCATTAAGATAACTCAGATGGGTTCTTATAGACTTGAGTTTAAGGTATGAGAATTTGTAATTGCTTTTATAGCAGCATAGGGGTAGGCAGGAGAAAATAAGGAAAATATGTATGCAGCTGATATACCTGGAAAGGTAGTCTGAGATGAGAAAGCAAAATCTGAAGAGATGACTAATGGCAACCTTGACTTTTTCTTATTTTTCTTCACTGTATTTATTTGTTTGTTTATTTATGTATGTGGGGGTGGGGGGGTGGGGGTGCGCGCACGCGCCTGTATTGGAGCTTCAACTCAGGATCTGGGTGCTGTCTCTTAGCTCTTTTTGTTTTAGGTGTTGCTAAAAGCTTGAGCTACAGCTTCACTTCTGGCTTTGTGCTAGCTAACAGGATAAGAATGTCACAGAATTTTCTGCTTGGACTGGCTTCAAATCCAATCCTCAGATCTTAGCCTTTTTCTTTTCTTAAGGGCTGGGAATGTGGCTTAGTGGTAGAGTGCTTGCCTAGCATGTATGAAGCCCTAGGTTCTATTCCACAGTACCACATAAATAGAAAATGCCGGAAATAGGGCTGTGGCTCAAGTGGTAGAGTGCTAGGCTTGAGCAAAAGAAACACTGTTGCTCAAGTGGTAGAGGGCTAGCCTTGTACAAAAGAAGCTCAGGGATAGTACCCAGCCCACGAGTTCAAGCCCCAGGACTGGCAAAAAAAAAAAAAAAGAGCAATGTTTAATTAACCTGTCTACACCTCTCTGTCTGCCTATCAAACAAACATACAGGTGGTGGGCCTCAATATTTTATAGAATATTGAGGAGATTACTGGAGATCACTTGTTAAAAAATCTCTAAAATTGAAAGTGATTTTTCAGTTAATTTCTTGTTTTGTTTTTCTTCTAACCTGTATTGTGAAAATATTCATTTTGTTCTCTTATTGTTCTGGTCCATAATATTTAATTCTCAAGATTTAATATTTTCTTTTTAAAAGAACACAAGCAAAGAATTTGGGATCATATTTCCTTCATGGCATTATTTCATTCTGAGTAAAATCAGGTAGCAGGGATTGTTCTCCAAATGTATTGGCCTCAACTAAGCAGTTATTTTATTTTTGATAATTTACAGATAATTTGTACTCTATAGTGTTTGCACAAAGTAAATACTTTTCCCAAGGGGGAAGAAAAACCACAAAATCTTGACAAAGATTTCTGACATTAGTTATTTCCCTTTGGGAAGCAAAACTTTGTAGCCATCTTGAAGTTATTGAGGTCTTAAGAAATGTAGAGAGTAAATTACAAGCTACATTATGGATGGGGGAATAAAGGTTATTCAGAGTAATCAAAATAACTTAATTTAGCAGTGTAGATAAATAGACCAAATGAGTCTTGGATTACTGGATGGCAGAAGCAAAAATCTATTTCGCAGAGGGTCCAAGGAACACCAGATGCAAAGACATGATAAATTTCACTGTGGCAGGGGGAAAGTGCTTCTTGAGTCTGTCTCCATAAAGAAATGGGCTTCTCAGCACTTCCCCGTTGAACAGCTTTGATTGTGCTGTCTGTCATAAAGTTAACGACTGTCTGTTGAAGGCATCACTATAAAATTTGCAACCTTAAGTTAATTGAAAAATTTCAGTAGTTGTTGTCAGTCCAGAAGTCCTCAAGGACTTAAACTTACCTTTCTTAATGTGATAGTCTGTTCTTTTTGTCCACTGGTAATAAATTGTTTACTTTACAGCCAGGTACTAACTTGTGTGTAAAATCTTTTAAGCCTTATACCTAATTACAATAGTCTCTTTCACGGAAAAGCCAGTGTTGTGGCAACTGGTTTGTTGTTAGGGATCAAATATATCTTTGTAATTTGTTTTCCGTTTTTCATGAACACACGGGATTTTCTTTGCAGCCTTTCCTCACCTCCATACTGAAACAGGCTTCAGTCCCAAGTGGTCTTAAGACAATTCCTTCAATCTAATTAAGCATGCAGAGGGAAGCAGGGTGGTCTGGAGTGTCCTGAACTTGCCCTCGCCAGCTGCCTGCCAAGCTTTGTCAATGATCAGCAGCAGGTTGAGTGGGCTAATGGAGAAAGTAACAAGCCCCAAAGGAGCTACCCTCCTTCCAGCGAGCAATCAGCTCTCCTCTCTGCCCTGGAAAGACTTGAAGAGACACATGCTGCCCATCTCCTTGTGGCTGTGGCTTTTAGAAGCCGTCTGGCCAGTCACATTCCAGCTGTTTAGGGGCATAGAGATTGTTGAAGAAAATATTGACAAGGGGCACTCCTGCTGGGCCCTTCTAGCGATGCAAGGATTAATCTGGGATGTGTTAGAAACAGGTCTAGACAGCTGAGTTCTCCCTAGAAGTTTATGACATATCCATCGTTTAAAATGTATTTTTTTTTAGCATAGGAGTATTTAAGTTTGACAACTCGCACTTCTTACTATAACCATCACCCCTCAAATAGAAGCATGTACCTACCCACCCGGCTTGCATTTGGAGGAGCACAACCAAAGCGAATTGATACTCATTCTAGTGTACAGTGGAACTATTTCAGTGATTAAATATTTGGAGGGCTGTGGTTGGTGATATGGTGGATGTCTGTTCATGAATTTTGTATACTTGGAAATCTGCTGAAACTCAGACACTCTTGTGCGCCAGGTAAAAGTAAAATTTTATTTGAGGAAACAACATTTTACAGAGCTGTAAAGAAACTTATTACTAAGGAGAAGAAGATTCTGGATATGGATAGTAGTACAAAAACCAAGCTCATGTGACACATTTTTCTCCTCTTTTTCTTTACAGGAAATAGCCCTCAAGATAGCCCAAGAAATTTCTCCCCCAGTGCCTCAGCCCATTTTTCATTTGCACGGAGGTAAGGATTTCTTGTAAGTGGAGTAATGGAGAATCCCATTTCTTTACCTTCTCCCTGTCCCTTCCCTTTCTTGCCTCTGCCTTGTGAGGTCCAGCTCATAATCCCTAAGCCTTCTCTGGCTTAAGGGCTTTGCTTGCTTTAACAGTTGAACACCTTGCTTTAACAGTTTAACTAATGACTCTGCCTTATATTAGACTTCTAGGTCCCTTCTTGTCCTTCAGTAGATGATGAATTTCCAATAAAGGCAGGAAATTACTCTTTCCGTATTTTCTCCCATTGTTAATGCATATCTTGTGTGGTGGTGGTGGTCAACAGATTTTACTGAGTTATCTGAGCTTCTCTGATAGAGGCAATATTCATCTGTATCCTAGTATGTTTTTTTGTTATTATTGTTTTGATACTCTGTAGAAATGACTTCCTTCTAGAATCTGAGATAGCCCTCCATTTAGGAGCATAAAGCTAACAAATCAGTGATGCCTCTGAGAAAAAGCCATGTGTAGACTATACAATGTATAGGCTATAAGATAAGTTGCATTTTCTCTTTCTAGCCTACTTACAAATAGGCACCAAATTCTATTCATATTGAAGATACACATCTCTACTCTGGGGTATTGAGTCAAGAGGAAGGATTGTTGTTGCTCAGGTGGATCTTATCTCTACCCTTTCTCCTGTAGATTAGCCAAGTTAGAAGAGTAGTATTCAACTATCTTTTCTGGATTCTGCATGTGGAATCAACCTACTTTTTCCATCAGATTTAACCTTCACCCCGCCCATATATACACCTTGTCCTGTCTGCCCAGGAAAATCAAAAGCAAAATGTCCCTCGGTCAGGTCTCTGGATATTCAGGATAAATTTGGTTTGTGGTTTGAGTGTCCTAGATATTTGCCAAAATTTCCTTAGAGACCTAACTATTTCCTGAAATGGTCTAGATTGCACTTAGCAAAAGTGCATAGGTAGGTTAAGAAATTCATTTCTTCTTAGCCACATTACTATCTAGCAAAACTTAGAGTGTACCCACTGCTGTTGGTCAGCAGGTGATATGTTTTATATTATGAAATCCAGAGGAAGAATGTGTCTGTGGCATTTTCAGAATTCTGTAGAATTAAGATTCCATAATGAGTCCCAAGCCAAAAGGAAATGTTTGTTCTTCTGTTGCTTTAGTCATGTCCCATCCTATGCTCAATGTCTTTGTGTGTCCTACTGTGGAAGGGTATAGAGTGATTAAGGCAGCTTCTCCATGGAGCTGGTTGAGGCCCCCCTTACTCATCCCAGAGTTCTGACTCTTATCCTTTTTAGTTCTTCCCAGTAAGTATTGTAAAGAGAGAGAGAAAACAAAACAAAAGGATTTCAGAAAGTCTATTTGCCTATCAGGTATTAAATTTTTAATTGTGCAATGTTCCAAGCAGAAAGATATCTAATAGGGCTGGGAAGTTGGCTCAGTGGTAGAGTGCTTGCCTTGCATGCATGAGGCCCTGGGTTCGATTCCCCAACACCACATAAGCGAAAAGAAAAAAAGCCAGAAGTGGCGCTGTGGCTCAAGTGGTAGAGCGCTAGCCTTGAGCTGAAGAGCTGAGGGACAGCACCCAGGCTCAGAGTTCAGGCCCCACGACCGGACCCCCCCCCCAAAAAAAAAGAAAGATATCTAATGAAATTGATAAATTGCCCTATGTAGTCTTCAAAACATGTCTCCAAAAATGGGAGAAGCACATTGAATTACCTTTAGCAATAAAATAAAATGCAAATCTCATTACAGCTTGCATTAAAATATGACAGAAATCATAGTCTTTTAATCCTGCCAGATTTTTAAGAATGAAGAGAATCTAATAATTAAGTGGGTGATTGAAGGACAGATGAATCCAGTGTCTGTGCAGTAAAAAAAAAAATACACCAGCACCCAAGTATGTTAATTTTTGACAAATAAACCATACAGTGTGACAGGAGATTACCACAGGAGACCTCTGGTCCATTTTGCCTGAACTTCCGGCACGAACTCCCTCCACACTCTTCAAGAAGTATTAGTGTATATTAGGACATGAGTGATCATCTTTTTAAAGAAGCGAAAAGAACCCTGTGTTCCTCATGAGAATTCAAATAAGCATTTTCTATTGAACATTCATCTGGGAGTCTTTTTCCCATTTTAGAGCTGCTTTTCATTTGGGAAACATGGTGATTTTCTCTCAGGGATTCCATTATCTTCTATTTGCTGTGGACTCTTAGACTTAAGAAGTAATGCCAGTTTATTGTTTTATGAAGGCAGTCCAATAGCGGACATATGCTCTCTTTTAACTTACTCTGCATGAAGAGATAAAGGTCAGGCTGATTAGTCTTTCCTGATCATAATTTACAATATGATAATACTCCCCCAGTAGACACCCCTGTAATATAAGATTCCAGTTACAGAATGTATGGTATGATGATTCATATTTGCTTTCCATATTGTCTAATACAGATGCAAGAGTAGAATTAGCAAGTTAATTTTTTAAATGTTGAGTTATAAAAAGGAAAAAAGCATCAATTTTAGAGGTTTTTGTCTGGAGGATTATTTTCACACTGGCAATTGTTTTTGTTTGTTTTGTTGTTGTTGCTTTGTGCTGGTATTGGAGCTTGAACCCAGGCCTGGGTGTGGTTCCTGAGCTGTTCAGGTCTTAGCATTCCATCACTTGAGCGACAGCTCCACTTCCAGCTTTTCATTAGCTAATTGGAGATGAGTCTTACAGACTTTCTAGCCCAGCCTAGCTATGAACCACAGTCCTCAGATCTCACCTGAGTAGCTAGAATTATAGGCATGAGCCACTAGTGCTCTGCCTTTTTACATTGGTAATTATTTTATAACCTGTTTGCTTAAACACCCTTAATCTACAAACTCAAAATTCAGAATACTCTAGTATCTAAAACTCTGTGTGTGAGTGTGTGTGTTTGTGTGTGTGTGTGTGTGTGTGTGTGTGTGCACGTGTGTATGCTGGTCCTGAGGCTTGAACTTAGGGTTAGAGCATTCTCCTTTAGCTTTCTGACTCAATACTAATGTTCTACAATTTGAGCCTAACACCTCTACTGGCTTTTTGCTGGTTAATCAGAGACAAGAGTTTGGTGGACTATTTTTTACTTTTCCAAGGCTGGCTTTGAACTTCGAACCTCAGATCTCAGCCTCCTGAGTAACTAGGATTACAGGCATAAGCCACCAGTGTCTGGCTCAAAATCTGAAGCATTTTGAAGTTCATTGACACTTTGGGGTGGCAGGATGAGATTTCAAAATGTTTCTGACTTTGAATTCGAGATGCTTACCAAAAAAGTCTGCACAGATATTTCAAAAGACAAGGAATTCCAGAATCCGAGACTCTCTCAGATCCCAAGAATTTTGGATGACAGATAGTTAACCTGTACTGATTTAGTGTACTTAAGTGTGGATTAACATCTTTCCCTGTGTGGTAAGTTGGAGGTGATAATCTGCTTTTTCCAGAAGTTGTAGAGGTTCACACATGATAAATTACTTTCACCTTCTTTGGAAATCAAGTGTCCTTGAATAAATGCCATAGGTCTTTCTTGGTTGTCTAGCTGTTGTTTTATCAGGTTAAATCTCTAGCTATATTTATACACGCAAATTACTCGAGCACATTTGTCTGCTGTGTTAAAGTCCTTAGATATTTGTTGAGCATTTGTGACCAAGGCAACCTCCTACTTAATTTTTTAGAATTCTTTCTGGAGCAGATTTTGTTGCTTGTACTATATTAGAGTTCAGTTTGTTCTAACATCTACTAAAGTACACAATATAAGTATCACCCCAGGTGACCATAACAATTAAGGAAAGAAATCTGCTTCCACATCATATGGTTAAGTAGGTTGATAGCAGAGTTTTTCATTCTTTCTTTGTGATATACCTAATTCTGAGTTTTTGTGAATTGAAACCATGGGGTTTTGCTTTGTTGTTGTTGTTTTTTGCCAATATCTTTGTGTCCTCTGTTCCATTCAGATGTTTTTTCTCCCTCTTTTTTTCACTTAATGTAACATCAAGATTTTTTACACACAAGGAAAAGACTTTTTCCAAAAAGCCTGTTGCTTTGGTAAGAACGTGGGCTTGACTTCGTATATCTTTTTGATAGCTACTACAGAGAAAAGGCAACATTGTTAGTAAGATGCAACTTGCACTTGTGAGATAGCTTTCTTGGAAAAGGGGCATATTCTCTCTTAAAGACTGCATGTAGCATATATAGTAACTTCTGATGTACTGTTGTCATGGCAATGAAAATGCAATGGTCCTTTTGCTCCATTTGAGTAAATAGACACAGACAACTTAGGGAACTTTATGAGATGTAAATTATGTCTGTTCAATACCTGTACAGAATACTGGGCACATTTTTGTTCAAACATCTTTCTAGTTGTATGTTTTCTGGACTATGCAAATATAATTTATGCTTCAGCGCTAGTAAGACTGTATCTCCTCTTGGAATTGTTCATCCATCTGAAATATGTTCATTGATACCTGAGGGAAAGGAGAGAGTGAATGAATCACAAAACAAAATTATGGTAGGGGGTATTGTGTCCCTTACTGTTTCCAGAAACTAGTTTCTGATAATTGCTATTAAATAGACTGAATAATTCTTTTAAAATCATATCCTTTTCTAAATGGGGATTTAAAATATAAAATACAGATATAGATTTTAAGACTTTAATAAATACTTAAATAAAATAGAATCAATCTGTGTCCATTTAATTGATAGTTGGGTATCTATAAGCATATTATAATTATTTTCTTTTAAAGTATTTAATATTTTCAATTGTTTAACAGTGTTTTTTAAACAACATAGAACTTAATTGTCCTAGTTTCTTTACTTTGGTATATCTGAAAACATCTTATTTTGCTTCTTCTTCTTTTTCTTTTCTTTTCTTTTTTTTTCTTACCATATTTGATTCAATTGTACTCCAATCATGGTCACAGAAATGACAGGTAACTTTTATTAAAATCTTAACATTGTAGTAGTTCCATGATTTGTCCACTTGATTTTCTCCATTTTGTCTTTGTAGACCATTCGCATTTAGTGGAGTAACACCCATGGTAGCCTATGGTAATATTTTTTCCTTGCACATCAGGCTAAATTGTCAGTTTTTCACATCAACATCAAATTGTGTTTTCTCCAGTTCATGTTCAGTGTTGTAGAATTCCTTGATTTCAACTTACTGTGAATGTGATTTTGGTAGTTTGTCTATTCCTGTCTCCTAGTTTGTAAATTAATATAGTCATGAATTATAGAAAGTTGATGAATGGTAGTGCATCTAGGAACACAATACTACCCCTCAGATGTTTTCTCTATCTTTCCCCTTGGCAGATTTGCATGTGTTTGCTTTCATGACACTTTGTGATTTTTAAGGCATAGTCTGGGATGCCAGCAATTCCAGAAAATTTGCTTTTTGGTTTCTACTTGCCTTAGATGAAGCAGTATTGCTTCTACTATGAAATTAACCCATCTTAGACCCATGTAATGACCCTGATTCATAACCGGAGTTCAATTCAGAAATCACTATGCTAACACTATTGAGGACAAAAGCAATTCTATTTAAGACTCCTGACAGCCTTCCCTCTAAGACTAGAACAGATGGCTCTACCCCTTGTGTTTGCTTCTGTTATTTGTGGATACTTTTTCCTTCTGCCCTTATGGTCATTGCCCAGGAGTGGGTTGCAGACTCTAAAATTCTGCAGGTGATCTTTGCTCCAACACTTTATGAAGGAAGCCGCCAGGTCATGTCAGAAGCAATAACTCTTCAGAGAGTCTGAGCTCAAAGACAGTCACTTTTTTAGTGCTACTTGCCACTTAAAAACTTGAACCAGGAAGTGGTACTGTGGCTCAAGAGGTAGAGCACAAGCCTTGAGCTGAAGAACTGAGGGGCAGTGCTCAGGTCCAGAGTTCAAGCCCCAGGACAGACAAAAAAACACCCCAAAACAAAAACTTGAACCATCTACAAGCCATGAGCTTCCTTCTGGGACAGCTCTCTTGAGAACACAAAGTACAAAGAGTTTAGGACACTGAAATTTCTCATCAGTCCTGACTTCTCATAGGCTCTCACACTATGCTGGAATTGAGACCCTGGTAAAGATTTTTGGTTCTGGTTATCAGTTCCTAGTTGAGAGTGTTTTCCCTCCCTCTTTTCTGTTTGTATGCTTTTGAATCTGCTGAGTCTGACCATTGTAATTATCCCTGGTATTCATTTTGTCAAATTGTATTAGTGAGAGATCAATACTATGGATCAAACCATTCACTTTCCTCTTGTTTGGGTGTATTGATTCAGTTTAAATAAAAGTCAACCTGCTGTATAATGTTTGTTTACCCTGACCCTGGCTGAGCATTTCCACAACCTCACAGATGATGTTTGTGTCATTTGTTCGACTAAAACTACTCCTTTTCTCTTGCATTCCCTTGTGACAGTACTCCAGAGTTGACCTAAGCTATGTTCCCTTTCTCAACAGGACTGATGGACGCCGCTGGTCGTTGGCTTCTCTACCCTCCTCTGGTTATGGGACAAACACACCCAGCTCTACTGTCTCTGTAAGTACCAGATCCTTTTCTCTCTCTCCCATCTACCCTCTATGTAGGCAATGTTTCCTCTGGGTTTTTCCTGGTGGGAAGAAGATAAATTCTACATGTCTGCCACTCTGAATATGTTACTTGTCAAATGATGGCCTAACAAACATGAAAAGGGCTTATTATTACTGTAAGCTTCTAAATTGTGACACATAAACTTATAAGGCCCAAGAGGTTTAGAGACAACTGGAAACTTTTGTTTTAATACCAGTTTTTATTGTAGTTTGTGAGGAAAACACAATCTGGTTTTCTTGCTTTAGTTTCATGTTGGGGATATTAATATTGAAAATGCCATTAAACTTTACTAGACTTGACCTTGTTTTGTGTGGTTCAGAAGTTTGTTTTGTTTCCTCTCTCTTTCAAAGAACACAAGAAAACCAAACCCCCCAAAAATGACAAGACTTCTAGCTTGCCATTTTAAGGAGAGTCACAGATTACTTAGTAAAAGGTTCATATAAATAGAGACAAGATTGAATCATGGAAATAGAATAGAGGGAAAAGACTCTTGCCCCTAAACACTATTTCTTTTTATTATTATTATTTTTTATTTGTGAACATACTGTACAGAGGGGTTACAATTACATGGGCAGGATAATGCGTACATTTCTTACCAAGCATTGCAGCCTCCTCCTTTGATTTACCCTTCACATCCCTTCCCAGCCTCCCCCCTCCCCCTAAACACTATTTCAATAAGAGGCCTAGGTATTTCTGAACAGACTTCAGTAGATTAAGTAGAAGCAGTCTTAGTTGAAGTTAGTGTAGTTTTGTGGATTGTCTGTATCCATAAGGCCTTAGAAACCAAGTAGTCATTTAGAAAGACCCAGGAGGCTGAAGGTGTTCACTAAATGTATAATGTGATGGCTTGGATGTTCTTGTGTGAGCCATGAATGTGAGCTATGTCTATAGTCTTTTTAATTCATTTCCTCCCTCTTAATGTTAAAATGTGTGGCTGATTAGGAATATCCATCTGTTGTGCTTTCCACAGCCTGCAGTACTATGCTAAGCACAGAGACTCATTCACTAGATAATCCTCAAGTTGACAAGAAGCAACAACTCAGTAGATAACCCATAACTGTATCACTACAACCTTCAATTATCTGTTCCTAGGATCCCAACTATAATTTGACATGGGTTTTCTGGAGCACCTCTAAACCAAGTTGTTAAGATCTTCTTTCAGAGTTTTACTGAAGTGAGGTCATTTTTCCTGTCCATTATTCCGTTTTGTTGTGGATGTGAATTTATTGTTCATTTGGACCATTTTGAGAAAATTCCTAAGAGTCCTAAGTAGTTTGGGTGGCACATCAACCTCACATCAATAAAAATCCTGGATGGGACCCATGGATAAAATTGTCACTAACTAATAGTGAGGTCATCTTTGGCTGTTATGGCAGCCGTCATTGGTTACTGGTCCACATTTCAGATGTTGAAAATGTGGGAAACCACAATGTGAAAATGAATGCTGAAACCGATTAACCAAAGGAGAAAGAAGAGTAATTCATAAAGTTTTAAGTACTATCCTTCCCCAGACCCTTGGTATCTTTAATTAGCACCAAGCTCTGATTAGCAGAGTGATTGTCTTTATGGATTTTACATACACATTTTCATTTAATCCCCTCCCAAAAGAATTCATGTCTCCTAATGTCAAATTATTTTATTCCCTTTATAATACTTTGCATTGTACCCAGTTAGGCTTTATGATAGATTGATGCAGAAATCTCCTATTTATTAAGAAAAGTAAGAGAGAGCATATCATCTCTGTGTGTTTTTATCACGTATCATCTTTAATGTGAATTAAAAAAGAACAAGTATATAAAATCTGACTCTGTTGGTTTTAAATGGTTTTTAAACTAGTGCTTTTTTACAAATACTTATTATAAAGTGTCCCAAATTGTACTTCCAGCCAAAACAAACAAACAACCAGAAACAGCTATTTAGTCTGTGATGGTAGGTACTACTACTTCTGCTATCTTTTCTCCATATTAATGTTGATAAAAGTGACCAGTTCACAATAAAAAAATAAAATCAGAAAAAAAAGTGACCAGTGAAAACTAGAAATGCTATTTCTCTCATTCCCCACTTTCTTTGTGTCCTGTTCCTTTAAATATTGCTGCAATATTTTCACAAAACTACTTAGTTACAGTTTTTTCTTGCCTAAATAAAATCTGAATTACTTTTAGGATTATCATTAAGCAGTTATCATTAGTCAGTTAGCCAAACAAAATATAGTTTAGCTGTTTTGTCCCAAGGAAAATATAGAACCTATCCAGATGAAATTATCAGTACACTGAAAACAGAGTTTAAATTTTACAGATAGTTCTTTTACAAGCTGAACTCTAAAACTGTTTACACAGAAATGGAGATATTATTATTTTTTTACCCATTGGATATTACAGGAATTGCTAAACAGCTCAGTGTTTAAAATGCTGCATTTTGACATTGGAAAGATATGATAATTTGAAATTAATCAGTCTTCATAGAGAATATTTAGTACCACAACTTCTTTTTAGTGTCCAATGTTAGTTAAAATTAATTTGTGGGACCTCTCCAAGATGATATTCAGATCATAATTTTAAATTATGAAATAAGTAATATGGAATCATTTGCAGCAGTAAGGAAAAGACATCCCATCAGATAAGTTATTTTTCTGCTGAGGGACAGAATAAAAATGTGAATATATATACTGATAAATGTGAGGTATGACTATTAAATTATATTACTTTTAGGAAACAACAAGGAGAAATTCATGCATCCATATGACCATTATCCTTTGCAAAATGGTCATCTGGAGAGGCTAAATGATTATTTGCAAGATAGTATAACTCAGAAAATGTACTTAGAACTCTAACTGCCTTGAGAATTACTAGCAGCATAGTTTGTATTGTATAAATCTTCCATTCTTTGAAAGTGGATTTGATTTATGGTTTAGTCAAAAATCCTTTGCAAACTAGTTAGGTAATGAGGCTCACTGGCATTCCATTTGGAAAATATGAAGTAATAAGAATTAGTTGATTGGAAAACTCCCAGACTAATTCTTGAGACTCTTCTAAACATTTCAAGGATGCTTTATTTTACTTGTGGGTGTACAGTCATATTTTACTTCTCTATTTCATCTTGTATTTGTTTATAAACATATAAACAAATCTTTCTTCTCTGGTGCACATCAAAATGTACATAAATTAGAATGAGAATGCTAAATTTTCTATAAACATAATTTAAACTCTACTAACAACAGAAGAGAATGATCATGACTAGTGGTCACACATGACAATCAGGTGAGGGAATAGGGTCTACCCTTGCTCTATCCTCCAGCATTTTACTCCAAGGATGCTTATTGGGGCACCTCCTCAATAAGTATGTCAGGGCCAGGTATGGTTCATGCCTATATTTCCAGCTACTAGGGAGGCTGAAACAAGATGACTGCTGAGTTCAGATGGTCACCCTGGCAAGAGAGAGAGAGAGAGAGAGAGAGAGAGAAAACGCTTTTAGAGACAACACTTGCATCCTGCTGACATCCTGGCAGCTGTCTTCGCTGGTTGTGCAAGTTCTTCACTGAATCCTTACTCTCTGCTAAAACTGATCCTGTATATGTATTAAAAACATGACTTACTTTTTGGAGGCACTTTACTGTTTTAAGACATCTCCAGCTCATCTTGCTGGCCTGCAGCTGTCCCCAGTGCCTTGGGCACATACTAGAATTACTTGTTTTACTCTGTTCCAATTTATACCTGGTTGGGATGCACTTTCTTTGTCTCTGTCTCTGTCTCTGTCTGTCTTTCTGTCTGTCTCTCTTTCTCTCTCTTTCTCTCCAGAAAAGATCCTGGACTCCTAGACTCTGCTGTCACAGTTAGCACACTCCCCCCACCCACCTCGCACCTCCCATTCACTCAGGTTATCACATTCCCTATCCCCTAACCAAGGCCAAGTTCCTCATGGAGCTGCCCAGTAAGTACATGTGATACCATCTCATTTTCCTTAGATTCATCAGATGGTAACCTTTTTTGTCATATATGCTACAACTATGTTGAAAAACCAGATTTCTATTTTATTTAATAAAATGATTCGCTGGGTTCCAGCAGCTCACACTGTAATCCTAGCAACTCAGGATATTTGAGGATCACAATTCAAAGCCAACCCAAGGAGAAAAGTCTGAGAGACCCTTATCTCCAACTAACTAGCCAAGAACCAGAAGTGGAGCTTTGACTAAAGTAGTAGAGTGCCAACCTTGAGGGAAAAAGTTAAAGACACACCTAGTCCCCTGTGGTCAAGCCCTAGTACCAGCATGCTAGATAGGTAGATAGGTCGGTAGATAGGTAGATAGACAGACAGATAGATGATAGAAAGACAGATGGATAGATAGAATGTTAAAAAATACCATCAAAACCCCTCTTTGTCCCTACCTACTCAAAGGATCTCTCTCTGAGGTTGGTTGGTATCTTTCCTATACAGGTTTCTTACCTGTCCATACTGACTTCTGAAACTCTTGAGGCTGGTATGTTTTAGAATTAATTTTTATTTTTAGAAAGGTAACATGATTTCTGTAATTATACACAACAGCCCAGCAGCAACTCCAATACATTAATGTTTCTACAGCAACCTGAATCAACATTCACACTTAGTGAATTGAGTACATATTTTAAATATCTTCCCATTGGCTCAGTTGCTGTCAACTTACAAACTTCTTGGTTTGTGGGTTTTTAAATCTTGGATACAAGATTGTAGACATAGATTTACCTGAGGAATACATGTATAGACTTTTTAGGATGTTGGTAGAACCCAAAGCTAGGTGTGTGTGTTAGACAAGTACTTGGCCATTCATCTTCTCCCCAGCTCTCCACGTACAGCCTTATGTTTTTTGTTTGTTTGTTTGATGTTTATTTTCCTCACCTTTGCTGTCATCGCCACTGCTTCTCTACCACTTGGAAGATTGATCTCATTATTCCTTTCCTGAGTACTTGAACTCATTTTTGTGGGTTTTACTTTATAGTGAAAGTATGTAGGACTGTGCCTTATTGTATCACAAGTCCTTTTCGCTATGTTCTCATTTTTATGGTTTATAAAATCATCTAATTACATTATAAAAATCCCTCTTTGTCTCAGCATTAGTTAGGCGTTTTGTAATTTCAATGTATAAGGATTATAGTACTGCAGAGCTTCAGGGTTTATGAAGGGTATGTTTTAGTAATGACAGTAGTCTTTCAATAAAAAAATCTACTAGAACTGATACTGTTGCATGAGTGAGATCTTTCAACCTATGCTAATTCTAGCCATGTTTCCACTTACTCAAAAATTTTTGTTCTCTTTTATGAAAATTACATACAGAGTTTACCTGTCATTAAGACAGCACCGGTAACTGACACCTATAACCCTCGCAACATAGCAAGCTAGGACCTTCCTCATTTTAAAGTCAACCAGGGCAAAAAAAACATCTGCCTCTTAAGTAGCAGAAATTGGACTAGGGGCATAACTGAAAGGGTAGATGCCAGCTAGGAGTCTGAAAGCTGACCAACGGCTTTGAGTTCAAGCCCAAGTACTGACAAAAGAAAAAGACCAGACTCCAGATTTCTCTGTTTGTAGTTCTATATCTTTGATTGATTAAAAGTAGTCAGTTTTAGCTATTTACTTTCCAATATTACCATTTTCCAAATTTGAGCGATGATCTACAGAAACAACCCACCAAGTCTGTCCACAATGAATAAAAAGAACTCTCCATCGGTAGTGAAGCTGTTGTTTCTTGAGGACTTTTTATTTTATTTTATGATAGTCTTGGCACAAAAAGAGGAATAAAGAATTCAGACTGCTGAGAAAGCCTACTGGTGAAGGTTGGATTGAGGGAAGTTTTATGTAAGGACAACATGCATTATAAAGGGATTTCTCATGATCTTATATACTTTTGACTTTTGAGATAAGATCATTGCCCTGTAGCTATGACTAGTTTAGAAATCCATATGTAATCTAGGCTAGCCTCAAAGTCACAATCCTCCTGCCTCAGCCTCCTGAATGTACATATTTTAAATATCTTCCCATTGGCGCACTTAGTGCTTTATTATCTTATTTTTACCTTATACCATATAATTTGTTATTTATCTGAAAAATGACAGTGTTTGCTTATAAGCAACAGTATATGCAAGAACTAATCTGTAATACAAATCTCACTTCAAGGGTCACTTTCTTGCTTTGGCTTTGACTGTCTCCTACCCATTTTCTGAGCCTAGGTTTTATCCACAGAGGAAACTATCTTTGGGGAAATTATCTTTAGAAATAAATTAGAGAAGATAGAGAAAACCATTAGCCTTTCAGAGAGCATCAGATATTCGTTTAGACTCTAGTAACTATTATATAGTTATTATAGTGTATATTATTATATTATTATGTATTGATATTATATATTATTATTATATAGAAAGAAAGTGATAAAATGTTTTTGTCTCCCAAGGTTAGCACTTTGGTCTTATATTTGTTTTCAGAATTTCTCTTGGACATAGTCTTAAAAACTTTGTTTTGGTTTGTTTCAGTCATCCTGTTCTTCTCAGGAGAAGTTGCATCAGTTACCATACCAACCAACACCAGATGAATTACACTTCTTGTCAAAACATTTTTGTACCACAGAAAGCATTGCCACTGAGAACAGATGCAGAAACACGCCGATGCGCCCCCGTTCCCGAAGTCTCAGGTGTGTGGCCCTCTCCCAAACTGTGATTTATTGTGTTATCTGTTTGAGCTGTTGGCAGTAAAAAAAAAAAAATCTTTCATCCTTTAATTCATATATGTGTTAGTTGATTTGTGAACAGACATAAATATAGTATGACTTTTTTTCCCTGTCTACAGATGAAATTGGTAATTACTGTTGAAAGGGATGGTATTGTTTCTTTAAGTTTTCACAGTTTGCTAATTGCTGCAATAGCAGTAATCATGTTAGCCTTAGGGTACTACCTATGAAAACTTCTAGCCATTGGAAATCTCAAGGCCATCTTATTATAATGCAAGAACAGTTAAGTATTTATATGAAGAGAAAAAAGCTTACTTGAAGAAGAATAGCAAAAAACAGGAAGATATTTTCCTGGATTCCATATTATAAAGGCCCATCCTACTATTTTTTCCATACTATCTTCCCATCATACATCCTACATTTTCCCAGATTATGGACACATTTATAGGAGTTGTGTCTTCTGAATTGTGTGGTTGTCAGATTTAGTCCTCTTGATTTTGGAGTAGAGCCAGTTTCTTCTTTGCTTTTTCATTTGCTTTTTTGTGCTATTCTTAGAGCTTGAACTCAGGGCCTTGGCACTCAAAGCTAGTGCTCTACCACTTGAGCTACAGCTCCACTTCTGGCTTTTTGATGGCTAATTGGAGATAAGTCTCATGGAGTTTCTTGCCTGGACTGGCTTCAAACCATGATCCTCAGATCTCAGCCTCCTGAGTAGCTAGGAGTATAGATGTGAGCCACTGGCACCTGGCTGCTAGTTTCATTTTGACTTTGTTTCAAATAATGTGTACCAAACTCTGTTTCTTCAAGAAGTAAACTCTGAAATAGTATTTCCTCTTCAGTATGTTTATTGGGGATTACCAACTATGTAAGAGAAGGAAGGAAGTAGGAGTGGGAGAGTCAAACTGCCATTTAGGGCCTACTGCCTTGGGCAGTTCCGTGGGTTGTTAAACCTTTGGGCTACATGGCGCTTCCTTTCTTTATACCCTGCTTCGTTCCTCAGTTCCTGAGTTTGTTGTTAGAGTACCTTGGAAAGGTCATGGGTGAAGTGATTTTTTACAGATGAGATGTTCTGGAAGAGACTCAGATGGTACAGGAATTTCCGGGTTTTTGCTGACAGCATGCCTAGGAGCCAGTCAATAGGTCCTGCTCAAATGAGTGGATACAGAGTAGTGCATCTCCTTGACCAATGACAATTTGAGTTGGTTTTTTTTTTTCTTACCACAGTTTGAACTCAAGACCTCACACTTACCCAGCTTTGCTACTCAGCTGGTGCTCTAGCAGCTGAGTAGAGCATGTCTCTAGCATGGTTTTTACTGGCTATTGGAGATAGAATCTACAAAGTTTTCTGACATTGAATCATGACCCTGCAGTTCTCAGTCTACCAAGTAGCTAGGATTACAAGCATGAGGCACAAACACCCAGCTCAATAGGATTCTATATTAGTAATATATGTTGCTTTACTGAGGTTTTATCATTTAAAAAATAGCTTGTTTGGTGAATTTTGAAGTTTCCACAAAAGAGTTTTCTCTTTATCGCTTTCTTCATGTAATATTGTAATACTGAATTTATCCATATCAGAGGATGGTCGAATATGTTAGATTCCTGTGATACTCAGAATTAAAAACCAGTATTTCTAGTTCATCTAGAGGTTCTTTGGTGACTAGATGAGTGCCATTTACAAAAAAAATTTGTTGGTTGTGCAGCCTGAGTTCTGGGCCTGGGCACTGTCCCTCAGAGGCTCTTCAGCTCAAGGCTAGTGCTCTACCACTTGAGCCACAGCACCACTTCCAGCTTTTTCTGCTTATGTGGTGCTGAGAAATCAAACCCAGGGCCTCATGCGTGCAAGGCAAGCACTCTACCACTGAGCCACCTTCTCAGCTTAAAAATTCTTAAAACTTTCTTTAAAATTCTTTTAAGAAATTCCTGGGGTGCCTAGTGTAAGTTGCATATATCCAGCAATGTAACCTCCTTAAAATGGTAGAACCGCATTGCATCACGCAGGACACAAACTGACCACTGAAATAAAAGAACAAAAACTACACAACAGTTGTATACCTGTGTTTCTTTGTGTGTGTCTACCTCAGCATCCCAAATAAATGTTTGCTAGTCTAGAAAATGGATTTCACTTCAACACCTGTGCCATGGAAGTCTCTCCGCCCTTTCTAGCAGCATGTGGCAGAGCGCAGGTGTATGATAAAAGTGTGAAATTACACTGTTAAATGTATCTTTGAGGTTGCTGTGTGCGGCCGCTCTGTTTGGTGTTACACTGCAATTCATTAGTTGGTTTCCAGAACTACACAGACTCACGCCACATGCAGAATAAAATCTCAATGTAAGGCTGGTTCCTGAACTAATATTATAATTATTATATGGCACTTTACTTCTTGGGTTTGCTTCCTGAAGAGTTTTCAGTGTATTTCTGTATTTGCAGGTCTGTGTGTGGACATGAGCACTAATGACTGATTTTGTAGTTTATTACCTAATACGGCATACTTTTCCTCTGAAGGTTGCATAGTGCGTTGGATGTAACGGACTGTTTATAAATAAAAAGCTTATTTTCATTTCATGCTGTGAAAGGGTAATTTGCTTTGCTTGCAGCCCTGGACGTTCCCCTGCCTGCTGTGACCATGAAATAATTATGATGAACCATGTCTACAAAGAAAGGTTCCCAAAGGTAATGAATTGAATTGATGGTGCCTGGCACCTAAATGAACAGGCAATGTAGGTTCAGCATCCTTAAGGTAAAGGTGTTATTGTTATAAGAAGGAAGGATCCAGCCTCCAGTAATGTCTTGTATGTCTTTTCTTGGGAAAAGAAAACAACTAAGGAAATAGGAAGCTACCAGCCACTGAGAACTCTGTTGAATTGGCCTTGAAGCCAATGCTGTTAGTATATGCAATGAACTTGGCAGACCCTGGGTTGGTGAGACAGGGAGGGTCTGTTCTCAAAGGCTTTATGCTGTGTGTGTGTGTGTGTGTGTGTGTGTGTGTGTGTGTGTGCGTGTGTGTGTGTGTGTGTGTGGTGTGTGTGTACATCTTGTACTCATGTTCTGGACCTACTGCAAGATTGCCAAGTAGAGGATCTTTTTCTTCTTAGAAAGCCATAGATTGCTGCATCTACAAACCATTTTTCTTATTTTTTTTCATTTCTGCTGGTCCTGGGGCTTGAGCTCTGGCCTGGGCGCTGTCCCTGAGCTTCTTTTGCTCAAGGCTAGCATCCTACCACTTGAGTCTCTGCTCCAGTTCCAGCATTTTTGACAGCTAATTGGAGATTAGAGTCTCATGGACTTTCCTGCCCAGGCTGGCTTTGAACTGCGATCCTCAGATCTCAGCCTCCTGAGTAGCTAGGATTATAGGCATGAGCTCATTTTTCTTTTGAAACCTCATTTGCTCTTTCCCCATGTCTTCAGTCATTACACATGGTAAGCCAATTGCTATAGAGGGGACAATTGTAATGTTACCAGTAGACTGGTAAAAGGAATTTGAATTAAGGCAGAATGCTATTTGGCTGATGCCAAATCCTCTGGCAGCAATAACCAGCTCTCCCATAGTCCCTACCACCTTACCTCTGTCTACATCTTTCTTCTCAAAGTGTTTCTGCACATTAGGTAGAAGACAACCTGTCTTTGTCAGTCTTAATCCTCACCCACTACCTTTGTTGCCTTAGGCAAGAACAAAGGGAAATCTCCATTTTCATAAATCAGGGGTAGAGGACTTACTATTTGTAATGAACCCAACATTGATTGTTTTCACTATTTATCACATGCCACCTGCTCACCAGGGAAATAGATACTGACTACAAGGAGTTAATGCAGGTTCAGACATGAAAGAGGAGAAGAGGAAGGGGAAAGAAGGAATCTCTCTTTCTATATAGTTCATGTAAGCCAGGGGTATTGATTGGGCAGTCAGTGTTCACAAAGAAGGAAGTGAAAGTTGGAAATTTTAGATATATTTTGCCAGGGAATCTCCTTGGCCTTTTGCTCATGGGACAACTCTTTTGAGGAAAGGATAAAGATGATTGATCTAAGGTGTTTGTCCTGGTACATGAAAACCTAGTCAAGAAAGCAAACATGGTTCACACTATAAAACAATAGCAGTAATCCTGAGTTCTGTGTAACTAATAACTAAAGAAAAATTGGAGCTTCTTGACAATCCATCTGAAAGAGCCCAAGATCGAACATAAAAGCATCACATTTCACAGATATATATGGAATTAGTTCAGAAAGCCTACAAGGGTCACCTTACATTTGATGGGACATTGGAAAAGGGATTGGCACCCTGAAATATTCCTTTTCATTTAAGTACCTTAAATCTTTACCATCTTCATGCCACATGATGGAGTAATTGCAGAATCTGCCTTATCTTTCCCCTCCGCTCTTTGTTAGCTTCATAGCAAAATAAAGTGGAGAGTACAGAAGTTTTCTGTATTCAGCATCCCACACATACACAGCTACACTCTTCATTGACCTCCAGCAGCAAGGTGGTACATTTCTTGCAATCAGTGAACCCTCATGAACCCATCATGATCTCCTACAACCCACATTTTCTTTAAGACTCTCTCTTGAGTCTGTACAATCAATATGTTTGGACAAATAGGCATTGACAGGTATGTGTGATTCTTGTATTATACAAAACTGAGATCTCTCTCCCTCTCCTATTTCTCCCTCTTTCCCTTCCTCCTTTTCTTGTGCTGAAGATCAAGCTCAGGGCCTTGCACGTACTAGTCAAGCACTCTACTGGACACACACACACACACACACACACACAGAAGACATACACACACATATACACTCCTCCCAGCCCAGAAGTTGGGGTTTCTTTTGACTTTATTTTATGGAATTCTATTAACAATTTGTGGAGGTTTTTGGAAATGCCTAGGAAATGGGATGGTTGGGTTATTCACGTCTGTCTCCTTATGTTACACCTGTACCTGTGTGTTTCCTCTAAACAGGCTACTGCTCAAATGGAAGAGCGTCTGAAGGAAATTATCACTAGCTACTCCCCTGACAACGTTCTTCCCTTAGCAGATGGAGTGCTTAGCTTCACTCACCATCAGATTATTGAACTGGCTCGAGATTGTTTGGATAAATCTCACCAGGGTCTTATCACCTCACGGTACTTCCTTGAATTGCAGCACAAATTAGACAAGTTGCTACAGGAGGTAAGAACCATATGCCATGCATATAAAATTTTCTGATTTGTTTTGCATTTTTCCCTGGAAAAAAAGAATGCTTTATGAGACCATTTTCTTACAAATGGTAGCTATGAGATATAGTTTATATTCCAAGGAAGCAAAGAAGAAAAAAAAAGCTAACTGATTACTACTTGCTGTAGGTTGACTCTGGTCAATATGTATAGTAATAGGAAGTTAATGTAATAACCTATACAGCAACCTTGAGACCCAGCAATCACTGACTCTGGGATAAGTGGGTTGTGAAGGATTTTGAAGTAGAGATTCCTGCCTCCTTACCCAGAAAGCTATAAATTGCTTGAGTATATGTACGTTCTTTGATGGTCCTATCTACTTCTAATATCTGCAAAAGCTAAATGGAAAATTGATGGCTTCTTCCAGGCTATGTGTCCTATTAATTAACCTGCATGTGGTGGGTAGTAAATGGCAACTTATATTTTCATTAGTGTCAGTTCTTCCTCTAACAACATATCCAACTTCTAAAATGACAGATAAACACAGGGCTGGTCTCTGCCTAACACTTGCATGCCTATCTCCTGATAACACCCCAGACAGGAAGGGAATGTGCTTGGTGGAATGGAATTAGTATATGATATTGCTCCTCTCACTGAAATTGATCGGCCACAGTTCATAGGGGAAACCTATTTAAAAGCCTATGTATTTGGATTTATAATATTCTTGTACCTCACAGAGCATAAATTATACCCATGTGAAAGTAATCATAAATGCTTTTTTCCTAAGAATAAATATATAAATACTTGTACAAAACTAGAGGAAAACACTAGCCCTAATTTTGGAGAAATCCACCTGTCCTTGGCCCTATACAATTTTTGTAATTTTAGCAAGGTAAGATGATTCCTCTCTAGCTAACAGCCACTGTTTTGTTTTGTTTTTTCCCCCTTTTCCATCCAAACTTCCCCATGGGGCTTTGTTTGCTGTTCTCATTTCTCACATTTCAACCTTCTAAAACAAGTGTCTCTCAGGCTGTCTTTGCGGGTGTGTACGTGTGTGGGGGGAGACAAACATGTTGTGTTTCGGCTTTGTTGTTGTTAACTTCCAATTTGGCTTGGAGCAGGCCTCCCATACACAAAAATGAAAATAAGTTTAAGGGAAATGAGCATGTACTTGGGTATCCTGGCCTTGTACACTTACCATAAGAGTTGCTAGATGCTTGCTCTCAATAATTGCACTTAATTTATCACACAGATCGCTTGTCTGTGGACCTCACTGGAGTAGCACTATGAGATGAGAACTCATGTGACAGGGATCTCCCCTGCTTTGTTTTCCCAGGAAGGTATTTGTTCCATAGAGGGGCCTAAATATTTGTGGCACGAGTGTCTGACCCCTACTGTCCTCCAACCACCTCCCCCAGTCCCTGCAAAAATAAAACACCTCTCTTACCCATTTCTTCCCTGTTTATTCTAAGCATTTCTTTTCAAAGTCATGTTTTCTCCAAGTTAATTTTCCTACAATCTTTTTTTTTTTGGTCGGTCGTGGGGCTTGAACTCTGGGCTTGGGTGCTATCCCTGCGCTCTTCAGCTCAAGGTGAGCGCTCTACCACTTAAGCCACAGCGCCACTTCCAGTTTTCTAGTGGTTTATTGAAGAAAAGAGTCTCACGGACTTTCCTGCCCATGCTGGCTTTGAACCATGATCCTCAGATCTCAGCCTCCTGAGTAGCTAGGATTACAGGTGCGAGCCACTGGCGCCCACCTTTTTCCTACAATCTTATCTTTTCACTGTTTCCCCTTTCAGCCTGTTGGCTGCTCTCATTAGAGACTTAAGGATTCTTGTAGCTTCCAGTCCAGATCTCAGATCAGCAGTACTCAGTGCTGTGATTTCAGAGGTATGTGTCTGCCTGCCTACTGAATGCCTTTTCACTTAGGCTACCACAGCACTGCTGGACAACCTTGCCTGCCTTTCTCAGGGTCCTTCAATGGGCTTCTCCTGCATGCTCCCCTCCCCTTGCCCCCCAATCACACTACCTTCTTCCCAGGTACCTCTTGGGACTACAAGCCCTCCTGGGAATACAAGTTGTAGTAACAACTCGCCTTGCCCTACCTACAGTAGCCACTGACCTCTCTGTTTTCTTCCTAAAATTCTCCCAACTTTCTCCTCCTATTCTATATCCACCACTTGAGCTGGACCCTCCTTTTCAGTGGTCTGCTTCCCTCTAGTCATAACCCCTCAAATCCACACTTCCATGCAGCAACAGGAACATCAGCCTCAGACTCTTCAGTGTTCCAGAAGGGAAACACCACAGCCTGGCCTATGTCTGCACACCCCTCTCAGTGTATTGCGATAATAGTGGGGAGAACTTGTTTTATCAGCATAAAGTGGACTTGGAAGAAGATGGGTCAGCTCTAATTCCTGGTGCCCAATTCAGTGCCTTGTTATTGAGTGGTCAGTGACTATGGAGAGGCAGAAGGGAAAAACACATACGGAGGCATGCCTAAATATTTCGCCTATTATCCTGTAATGTCATACTAATCTAATCTGCTGGGGCTTTTTCCATCAAGTCAACTTCTAGAAAATGCCAACTCCATGCTTATTTCTGTGTATGAGGATACCTTGAAAGTATGGAAATGGTACACCTTGAACACAAGAGAAAGTATTGGCATGGTACGCTTTTTTTTTAATTGTAAAGATACTATACAGAGGGTTACAGTTACATGAGTGAGGTAATGAGTACACTTCCTCTTGAACATTGTTACCCCCTCCATTGTTTTCCCCCTACCATCCCTTCCCTCCCTCCCTTCCCCGAGGTTTTTTTTTTTTTTTGATTGTGATTAAGTGATTACATAATTTCCGGAATTTCACAGTATTGTGGAATAATGATGCTCATTTAAAGTCACAAGTTCATTCTAACTTTCCTGGAGCAAATTGTCTATCACAGTCTGTAACATATAACAGTGTTCACATGTTATACACCATACATGTGATCAGCAGCGTGGGGATATTCAGTAGTGGTTTGACCAGATGAGTGGGAGTTCTTTTTTCTTAAGTCCTGTTAGTTTTGTCGTATCAGGCATGGTACACTTTTAAGCACAAGAGAGCAACTCTGTAATCAACCTCTTGAGAATCTTCTGTAATTCCAGAAATCTGTCCCAGGACATTATCATAATTATCAGCCTACTTCTGTTTTTCATTCCTTTGTAAGCATTCCTTCAAAAAGGGTAGAATTGATATCCAAAGCTATTTATAGTAAAATTGCCCACTTATTTTTTGCTCATTGATGATAGATTTTGCAGACTATTTCAAGGCAATTAAAAATAAATCTTAGCTGGTACTGGTGGCTCATACCTGTAATCCTAGCTACTCAGGAGGCTGAGGATTGGGATTCAAAACCAGCCTAGACAAGAAAGTCTATGAGTCTCTTAAGCACCAAAAAAGGCCCAAAGTAGAGCTGGACCTCAGTGAAAGAGTGCTAGCCTTGAGCACCTGAAGCTCAGAGACAGCATTCAGGCCCTCAGTTCAAGACAGCTCCAAGACCAGCAGAGACACACACACACACACACACACACACACACACACACACTCTCTCTCTCTCTCTCTCTCTCTCTCTCTCTCTCTCTCTCTCTCTCTCTCCCTGTTGGTAAAATAACACATTATTGCAGCTGATATATTTCCTTTGCTTTGGCCTTTGATATAGCTGTTGTTAGAAGAAGTTGGAATGAATTAATAGTTTTTTATTATGGTTTCTGAAATGAAATCTGTCTAGCCTGAATTGGGCATTTTTCAGTTCTTTTATATATAAAACTCTCATTTCCCTTTGAAAACAGCCACCAAAACATGCTTGGCCTTTTAAGACAAAGAATTAGGTGGGCTTTGGGGTTTTTGTTTTTATTTTTAAGCTTCTCTCTTTAGTTAAGGCTAAACTATAAAAAAATCATCATATTTCTTAGCATTCATTTTATCTTCCAAAATCTATTTTTGTTGCAGCAGAAAATTTATTATTTGAAGCATATGTGTGTAAGTGTGAGGAATGTATTATTTTCTAGTTGCTTACCAATTTCTTTATTTTTTAAATATAAGCTGATTTCTTATTCTTTTATGATTTGTATTCCTTTTTTTCCCTTCCCTTCCCTTCCCTTCCCTTCCCTTCCCTTTCCTTTCCTTTCCTTTCCTTCTTCCTTCCTTCCTTCCTTCATTCCTTCCTTCCTTCCTTCCTTCTCCCTGTCTTAATTATTTTCCTTGTTTTGTTGGTACCAATGTTAGAACTTAGGGCCTCAGGCTCTCTTAAGCCTTTTTTTTCTCATGGCTAGTGCTCTACCAATGGCCTCTAATACAGTTTTGCTTTGTTTTAATTGGAGAGAGAGTCTTTCAGGCTTTCTTTTTTTTTATTGTGAAAATACTGTACAGAGGGGTTACATTTACAGACTTTCTTATGTCTGGCTTTAAACCTCAATCCTCAGATCTCAGCCTGCTGAGTAGCTAGTATTACAGGTGTGAGCCACTGGCACCTCACTCTGTACATAGTTTATATACTTACATATTTTTAACATCATCTTTGATATGCTGGCCTAAATTCAATATGCATATTAAAATCATTAAAAAAAATAAACTAGTCTGCCAGCTCTTTTTTTGTAGAGAGGGACTTGGCATAGATGAAACACCTTTTTTTTTTTTTTTTAATCAGTCAAGGGGCCTGAACTCTGGGACTGGGCGCTGTCCCTCAGCTCTTCTGCTCAAGCTATCTCTCTACCACTTGAGCTACAATTTTCCGAGTGGTTTATAGGAGATAAGAGTCTCATGGACTTTTCTGCCTGGACTGACTTTGAATCATGATCCTCAGATCTCAGCTTTTTGAGTAGCTAGGATTACAGGCATGAGCCACTGGCTCCCAGCTAGAAGCACCTTTTTGTAGTTGCTTATTTCTGTGTCAGCAGAATTACATCATATTATACCATCAGGGCCATGATACTTGTTTTTAATCCTTTGAGGAAAGTAAGTCATTAAAAAACAGTCCTAGGTCTGGGAAGGTGGCTCAGTGGTAGAGCACTTGCCTTGCATGCTTGAGGCCCTGGATTCAATTCTTCAGCATCACATAAGCAGAAAAAAAAGCCAGAAGTAGCGCTGTGGCTCAAGTGGTAGAGCGCTAGCCTTGAGCTGAAGAGTTGAGGGACAGCGCCCAGGCCCAGAGTTCAGGCCCCACAACTGGACCCTCCCCCCCAAAAAAAAAACCAGTCCTAAAATGAACAAGTATAGAAGTTTACATCAAAACTTCCAAAATCTCTGTCCTATATCAACCCAATATTTACCAGATAATTCAAGAAGAGCTCATTGAAAATTTCAGTGACTGTTGACAAACTGAACTTTGGTCTCAGAACATTTCATTGTGTTTGGGCAACATGTAAAGTAAAATTCAAAACTGGGATAAAATTTTACTGAGTTGAGTGCTTATTTATTCAGTGTGTGAAATTGAATTCATACATATATACACATACACACACACATATATATATATATATATGTCCAATGATAAACATTAGTCAGCTAATATTTAAAGTAAGCATTGTATACTTCTTACACATGGGGAAGTAACTAACTTGTAAGGAAATCATATTGTATATGTGAAGTATATTTCATGAGCATGTTAAATGCCCAGGATAACAGAATACCAGTCTGTTCTGCTGTTTCACACATCTAACATGTTACATCTGGTAAGTCCATGTTCTTGATCAGCTGACGGTACTGGTAACACGTTTTAATGTGTCATAAACTTTTAATGTCTCCTTCATTCATGGTTCACATTAAAGGGACATATTCAATTTTTAACATAGATAATAAATCAAAGTTTTGCAGTTAAAGTTTAGCTAATAGAGCTATTTTATGGATGTGGATGTTTAATAGTATCCATTTATCTAGAGATAATGCCCACTTATCAATCTTTTAAGAGTATTTTCTAAATTGCTTAATTTTTGAACGTTTGCAATTAGCTCATTAGCATGCTTTGCTGATTTTCTTTTCCATTTAGTGGAGCAACACTGTGTCCTCATGCTGTTCATTGCTTTTTTCATAGGCCCACGATCGCTCTGAAAGCGGAGAATTGGCATTTATTAAACAGCTAGTCCGAAAGATCCTAATTGTTATTGCCCGCCCTGCTCGTTTATTGGAGTGCCTGGTAAGTTGCCTTTAGATGTGACTACATTATTTATTGTTAACTGCAGGAAAGCAGCAACCCACAGAAAGCTCCAGTTTCATTTCACTTCAGCCAGCAGCACTAAATGGGGAGAATTGGGATGAGCTGCAGCTTGTGAATGTGTGTGATGGCATCCATATGTGACTTGTCTTCTTTGATTTTAAGAAAGAATTCTAGAGTTGGTGCTGCGTTAACTGGTAGTCATCTTACATTCTGGTCAAACTTGAAGGATGGTCATGAAATAGTGTACTCGACCTTACTTCTGCATAATTACTCTGTGTCACAGCTAATGTAAAATGTTTGCTCTGCATCGTGTTTTTTTGGAGTTTGGTGAGGGTCAGAGAGAAGGAAATCCCAGATATCCTATATAGTGACCCATAGATATAATTATTATTTGTTTTTTTATTATACTATGCTAGAAGTCATTGTTATTGAGCAAACCCATTTGGAAAAGGGTACAGTGGGCTATCAGGAGGAATGACTTTTAGATATTGTTTCATTTTAAAAATTACATCATAATAATACTCATTTTGCCCTTTTAAAATTTTTGTTTTACTAAATCTTGATTGTTATTTCAATCAAAATTGAAAATAAACATGGAACTTTAACATAAGAATTATTTAAAGGGCTAAATTAATATAGCACAAAGTTTCCCTTTTAAAAATTCTACCAGCTATTCAAGTAATTGAACTCCATGTATAATATATTTTTCAGCATTTAATACACAATAATGTGTGTGGTTGTGGTGCTTTGTCCTTGTTATTCTCTTAATTAACATTCATTGGATTTTACAATATTGAAATATTCTTAGCCTCAGAAATACCAGCACCAGATGAGAGATAGCAGAGGGAGGCAGATCTTGAGGTAAAAGATGGAGAGCAGGATTTCTATCAGCTTTGGATCCTTAGGACCACAAAGTAAAAAGTATCATGTAGCTGAGCACTGGTGACTTATTCCTGTAATCATAGCTACTCAGTAGGCTGAGATCTGAGGTTCATTTGAAGCTAACCTAGGCAGATAGATCCTCAATATTCTTTTTTTTTTAATTTTATTTGTGAACATACTGTACAGAGGGGTTACAATTACATGGGCAGGATAATGCATACATTTCTTACCAAGCATTGCAGCCTCCTCCCTTGTTTACCCTTCACATCCCTTCCCAGCCTCCCCCCCTCCCCCCCCAGTCCCAATCCTTCCCCCCCCCCCCCCGCCACCGACATTGAGATCCTCAATATTCTTATCTCTATATAACCAGCAAAAAGCCAGAAGTACACTACTTTGGATACCTGTGGTAAGAGAACTAGATGTATGGACAGATAGAAGGGAGACATTTTTTCCTGCTTCTCCTATGGTGCAATAATAAAATCAGTGGTGGGGGGAATGCTAATAAACATTAAAATATTTTTATGCACAATAGCCTGTATACTAGGAACAGATCTTGTCTTCAAAGAGGAAATGCATTTTTTTATAGTAATCACTCAGCAACAGATAAGAGAAGTAAAAGTATTGACAGGAACAAGTGGACTCTAAAGTAGCTTTGGAAATGTTTATATTCAGTATAGTTTAGAGATCAGATTAAACTGGAGTGTCAAGAATGTTAAAGGATGTTTCCTTAAGCTTTTATTTTATGCCAGCAGTTCCCAGGTTTGTCCTGTCAGTCCTGGGAAGTGTCTTTTCAGAACTCTGAGTGATTAGATTATACTGGCTGGGCCTGATTTCATTTGCAGTACGCTTTTTAATGTGACCCTGAGACATTCTTTTTTTGCACTCAAGCCCAGAGTTCAAGCCCCACTACCGGTGGTGGGGCTTTTTTTTTTTTTTGTTGGTGGTGGGGCTTGAACTGTGGGCCTGGGTGCTGTCCCTGCGCTCTACAGCTCAAAGTGAGCTCTCTACTGCTTGAGCCACAGCGCCACTTCCTGACCCTTAGAAATTCTTGAGTAATTATCAGATGAAACACAGATTCAAGGGTTTGGGTATTTAACTCAGTGAAAGAGCATTTGCTTGGTCAGTGCAAGGCCCTGAGTTCAGTCCTTAGCTCTGTGAGAGGGGAATTAAGATTTGAAAGGTGGTTATTCTGGACATTAATCAAAACAGGAAAAACCCTAGAAGGAAGAGGGTTTTAGGAACTGAACCTTGAAATCAGCAACTGTGCTTTAAATCTCTGTACACAATTGTTTACAATATATTAATCGATGACCAACAAAAAAAATATATAGGAAAAATTTATTATGAAAGTAATATAGAGGTCATTGACAGCTTCAACTTAGTACTTTAAAAAATCTTTGCGTAATGTAAGTATGAATAATAATACTTAGAGTTAAAAATATGGTAGCATTAAAGGTTTTCTTTCTAATAGTTTTAGACATCTATATCTGGTAAAATTCCTACAAACCTTTAAGTAAATGTAGTTTAATATTATGCTTAATTATATAGAGAGAGACACTGAATCTTTTAAGTAAAATTCTCAGATTTCAAAATTTTTGTTATCAGACCCACAGCCTTGGATTCAATTTTTAGCACTACTCCCCAACTCTAAAAAACATTAAATTGAAAAAATGAAGCTTCAGATCTAGCAGAGCAAGTAATAAATACATAGTTATAGTCCTAGATGTTCAGGAGGAGGAGGTGAATGAAGATAATTGATCCTAGGAGTCCAAGGTCAACCAGGGCAGCAGAGTACTGGGCCACATAAACCATTAAAAGAATATCTGCTCTTTTCCAATGAAATCCAGATCTTCAGTGGAGCATAAATAGTATCTCAAATATTACCTTACAAGGTAACTAGAAGCAATCATTATCTTTAGGTTACCCCATTGAATGAGTATATTGGCTTAGAATATGAACAGACTTCAAATAGAAGTGAAAGTTACATACACTTTTTTTAAAGCTACATCTCCATGTTGTTTTGAGTTACATTTCTTTTATGGCAAGAGATGTTGAACATTACTTCATGTGTCCGTTAGCCATTCCTATTTCTCCTGAGAAGTGTTTCTTTAAGCTTTAGCCCATTTATTAATTGGATTTTTTTTTGCGGGGGGAACGGTATTCATTTTTTGAGCTGGCTCAAGAAAATATGATATATCTGATACACACATATGCAATAGAATTCTATGCTTTCATCAGAAAGAATAATAATGCACCATTTGTAAGGAAATGGAAAGACTTGGAAAAATTATTTTAAGGGAAGTAAGCCAGACCCAAAGAAACATAGGTTGCTTGGTATCCCTCATTTGTAGTAATTAGAATGTGCCTGTAAGTCTACAAGTAAACACACTGGATGGTAAAAGACAAAATATTACACTTGGACAAGATAAATTAAACATTCACAGAGTGAGACCAAAGGAGGATATTCTTAGGAGAGGATCATAAAGGCTCAGTAGCTGTGTACATATAATCATATAAAATGATGTTTATTGACATGAACCCCAAAAAATTGAAACAAGAGGTTTTTGGAGGTTGTTTTTTGTGAGTTTTTTGTCGTTATTGCCTTTTGTTTTTGTGTTTTTTTTTGTTTTCTCCTTTGTTGATGTTTTTGATTTCTGTGCCTTTTGTCTCGTATGTAAGTTTATTTGATTTGGGGAGGGGAAGGGGAACCACACAAATGGTGGGACAAAGGGTGAACAAATGCAGCAGTGATACTCACTAGACACTGTACCACTTGTCAGGGAGAGGGAGTCAGGAGAGAAAATTCTGGGAGAAAATGAGGGAAGTGGTGACACTATTCTAAAAGAAATTTATTCAGGGGCTGGGAAGGAGGCTCAGGGGTAGAATGCTTGCCTTGCATTCATGAGGCCCTGGGTTTGATTTCTCACCCACCACATAAACAAAAAAAGCTGAAGTGGCATTGTGGCTCAAGTGTAGAGCACTCACTTTGAGCTGAAGAGTTAAGGGCCAGCACCTAGGCCCAGAACTCAGGCCTCACGACTGACCAAAAAAAAAAAAAATGTATTCATTACCTGTCTTATGTAACTGTAACCCTTCTGCATATCACCTTTACAATCAAAACAAATAAATAAGCTATATCAATAGTAATATTATAAATGAGATTTATGTAACAATCTCAGACCATTTTGGCTCAAAGCATTCTGTCTCTGTTTGTCTTCTGCCAGGAATTTGATCCTGAAGAATTTTACTATCTATTGGAAGCAGCAGAAGGCCATGCAAAAGAAGGTCAGGGCATCAAAACTGACATTCCCAGGTACATCATCAGCCAGCTGGGGCTCAATAAGGACCCTTTGGAAGGTAAGAACTTCTATTCTGTGTCCTCTAGAAGACTTTAGTAGCAAGTCTTTGTTTTTCCTATTTAGGCTCTCTATTGAAATGCTTCTTCTTGGAGAGCATCTAGTCCTGAGGAAAATGCGCCTGTTCCAGTTTTGGTTACCTGGAGAAGGGGCCAGGCCTTGATAGCTTAGAGGCTTGTGAGCCAGACTATCCTGGAGAATTTGGTTTTCAGTCTTCTCTAAAGACTTTTTCGCTGGCATAGCTAGATTGAACTCTTTTTGAGAGTAATTTTTATTTCAAAAATGATGCTGAAGAAATTAATTATCATTCCTTTAAAATTGGCATTTATATTTAATTGGGGTGTAATGCAATTGATGGTAGATTGCCTTAAATCTGAGTACAGTAGTGGTAGGTATGTATAGTTTTGCTTTTATGTCTCAAGACAGTCTAAAGGAATGGTAGCACACATGAGAGACAATAATAGAAAAGATTGCGTCTCTTAAGGCTTATCAAAGGATTTTTTGAATCAAATAAAAACAAGATAGCTTTCTATTGAGTACAGAGAATAGAAAACATTCTGTTAGTGATTTTTTTTCTTAAAAACCTAGTATGAGTAATGTCCCCACCTTTTCCTGTTCATTGTAGTTCGAGATTGTTACTTGTAAACCTTAGTATTATACACTGCCTAAAAAGGCTCATAAACAATCATCGACTCCTCATTCAAAATAGTCTTCCTGGTTCATCAAATTGAATTTGAACAGCGTTTATCCTGCTCCATTGTGCATGATGAAAGTAAATATGGGCACAGAATTTTTTTTTCCCATCTAAAGCCAGGGAGCCTGCTGCTTTCTGCCCTGCTCTCTCCTGTGCTTCCTGCTTTGTTTGCTGTTGTGGCCATACTATCTTTGCTTCCAGTGAAATGATGCATGCATTACTGAGAGATAATTCCAGATAAATTCATACTGTACTGAAAGCAATACCACAACAGATTCATCACTTATCAGAGACTGGTGGCTGCTTTTCTGAAAAGTTCCCTGGAGAGAGATTTTTCCCCCCATGGCTTTTAAATTACCATCTTTACCTTTGTGAATCATGAGTCTTCAGAAATGGTTTAAATCAATGAAATAAAAAAGGGCAGATGTTTAATGGTATTTAGATGAGTTTTTAAAAATCTCTTCAGGCATTACAAAATGATGCCTTAGCTTCCTGCTTCAAAAGCTGACTCTCGGTTCCTTCCCATTACTACCCACTGTTTACAAATAATATGTATTTCCCAGATAATAGTTATTTAGCAGAAATTCTATTTAAAACAGAACCCTCTTTTAATTTATTTTTTATGAAAATAATTGGAGTGAGGGGAGGCTGTCAAGGCAGATTACCCTGACTCTTCACGCCAGTGTGGTTAAGGCTGGGTCAGCTCTTCTCAGTTTTCCTCCCTGGCAGTAAATACTACTGTAGCTGATCTTTGGTATGTGAATAGTCCCAGGCCCATTTATGTCCCTTAACAGAGGCCTTAAAAACTTGTAAGGGTCCCTGGCATGTTCCAAATTTGGTTATAAAAATTTATCACTAGGAGTTGCTTTTTAAAAAGCTCGTGAGATTTAATTTTTTTAGTTCTGTCTGAGGATAGTTTTTAATCTGCTTGTTCTCATTTACAGTATGACTTCCTCAGGCAATTTAATCAATTTCTCTATGCTATTGGCATCCAAGCTAACATATCTGTAGCTGGTCCTTTGATGAGTGAGAGTTCTGGAGCTGTGTCATGGATTTAAACAAACAATTCATGGCCCTCTTTACCCTCAGGTCCTTCCAAATCAAATTTATGGCAATCACATTGTCATTGCTTAATGTGTTAACTGTTATTTCTATTTTTAAACAATATTAAATACTACCTCTTTTCTGGAGATTCCTTCAATCCAAATATGCTTTAGTTTGTCTCTGTGTCTGTACATCATTTGAATGACACCAAGAAAGTATAGAGTTTAAACTAAGGTTATTTTTATCCTGGCATTTTCCCAACTGAGAACACTAGAGTCCATCTCCAGATATTTTTTGTCTAGAATGTACCAATTTTTACTTTAAATGTATTTTAGCTTCATAAGCCTTATGAATAATCACTAGCTAAAAATTATAGTTATATTTATAAAAATACAAACATGAAATAAAAACCTAAGAAATGATTATAGACTCTATAAAAATATGTATCTAAAACTATCACTTTTTATTACACAGGTCCACTTTTTTATAAAATTAGAAAATACCTGTAGGAAAAAAATTTATTCTAGCTACACAGGGGACTGAGATCAGTGCGTTAATTAGACTTAGCCATTTACTTACATAAACTTAAGGATGCATTCCAACTTGAGCTGGGCAATTATATGCCTTTGTCATTTTTAACTACACCACCAGGGTAGTGCTTAAGCTGATGTCAAGCATGTGGCATGCAGCCCAGAATTGATTACTTTGTACTATATAATTAATAATAAATAACAACCATTATTTAATAAACACTTAATTTTTGTTAGTTAACATGCTAAGAGCTTCATTGCATTATGCTTCAATGCATTATGATGCATTGTACTAATAAAAAAGTTCTAAGAGATAACTAATATTGTTTCCATTTTGCTGGGGAAGAGCCTAAAAATTAGACAGTGGCCTTAATCAAATCTTTTCATCTCCAAACCCTTCTGAACCAATCACCATTACCACTTCTAACAAACTGCAAATTCTCCTTATACTTGATAGCATTTCTCTTAGAAGATGCAAAGGAAAGAAACAATAGATGCTCACTGCAACACAAAAATTATTTCCAAGATGTAGCCAGTGCCTTTTTGTTGTCCATCAAATCCTGAAGAGATTTGCATCTTTTGTTTTTTGGGGAGGGCGGGTATTTTTTATTTTTGGTGCCCGTCCTTGGGCTTGAACTCAGGGCTTGTATACTGTCCCTAGCTTCTTTTGTTCAAGGTTAACAGTCTACCACTTGAGCCACAGCTCCACTTCCAGTTTTTCTTTTTACTTTTTCTTTTCTTTTTGTAATTTGTTGGTGAGAAGAGTATCATCACCTTTCCTGCCTGGGTTGGCCTTGAACCATCACCCTCAGATGTCAGTCCCCTGCGTAGCTAGAATTACAGGCGTGATCCACTGGCACCTGACTTGGAAAGACTTGTATATTTTTATATCATTTTAAACAGAGCAAGTAACCCTTTTTCCTCTGTCCAGCTGTTCATAAGAAATGGTAAGGAGTGAACACTGATCAAGATGCATTGTACTCATAACTGCTTTATTGAATGGCAACTCCTTTGTACGACTAAAGATCATAAAAATATTTTTTTAATTTAATTTATATATTTTTTATTTTTTTATAATATATATATTTTTATTGTGAAAATACTGTACAGAGGGGTTACAATTACATGGGCAAGATAATGAGTACATTTCTTATCAAGCATTGTAGCCTCTTCCTTTGTTTACCCTTCCCATCCCTTCCCAGCCTCCCCCTCCCCGCCCCCCCCACCAAAGTTGTAAGGTTCATTTTTGACATGACAACTTGTACTTCTCATTGTTGCAACGGGTCCACCTGTATCCTTATTTAAACGACTTGTTTTTCCCCTTCCCCTCCACAAATTATACCGACATCAAATACAGTGAAAGCAGGGGTTATACTGTGGGGGAGGGACATACAAAGCAACAAAGAAATAATCTTATAAATGCGTTAGAAACAAATGCATGAAAGAAAAAAAAACATTTAAATACATATCTTAGGGTTCAAAAATATTTTTTTTCATAAAAATATTTTCAAAAAATAAAAAGAAATGGAATTCCAGGATAGGGTATGTGGTGAGCAAGTGCACGTGACCAGCTGCCACTGGTTCTTGCTATGTTTAGATACAGTTTTCCTATGGCTATATTAGAGTAAAGAGCACATTCTTCTTGTCAAATTGCAGTTATTTCTTAAACTGTACTTGGCTTTTTGTTTTCTTTGTTTTTATACCTAGAAATGGCTCAGTTGGGAAACTATGATAGTGGCACAGCAGAAACACCAGAGACGGATGAATCAGTGAGTGTGAGTATCTTTCCCCATGAAATATGCTGTTGGTTTTTGTGTTTTATTAACATCTGGAGATTTTTGAGTGCGTTAATTACTTTCTTCACCAAATATTTATTGTCTTCTTCTGTATGCCAGGCACTAGGCAAACAATGTTTGTGTCTACCTTCTACAAAAAGCCTAATTTTACAAAAAAGAAATCATGTGCAAAAAACAAAAACAAACCCTAGAATAACAAGTATGAATAAAATCTACAAAGCAAAAAAGACTATGCACTGCTGGAATATACCATAAGGAGATGTGCTTTAGTCTGGCCAGTCACAAAAAAAATTCCCTGGGGCCATGGCTCTTGAGATGCAAGACATGGTTAAGATGCCAAGGGACCAAGGAACACTGAAGACACAAGGGACATCTGTGGGCTAAAAGCAGGGGAGACCACAGAGATGGAAAGCTCTTGGCAGAACCCTTCCCACACACATGCACACAAGTCCCTGTTGCCCCTGTGTGTAGTTGCTTTTAAGATAAGCAACAACAGGAAGCAACCCAGCTTTGGAACAGTGTCCATGTATATGAGAAAGGATGGACTAAAAAAGAAGATGCTCCAATCAGAGCCATGACTTGAAGAAAAGAAGTCAACTGGGGTACAGCAGGGTGCTTGTGGGAAAGTCAGTTAAGTGGCAGTTGCAGGGACACCAGTCAGAGGTTTGGTTGGGGAACACTCTTGTAAATAGCTAACCCTAGCAGAGAAATCAGGAAGGAGCAGGCTAGGGATGATCAGGAAACCTGGAACATCTGTATAATCATAGGGGTGGGAATTGGGAAAGAGATTCTTCTGGATTCAGATTGCTTGGATTTAAAAACTGGCTTCACCTCTTACTAGGTGTGCAGGGTGTAGGGAAATGATTCTCCTGTGCTTCAATTTCCCCATCAGTACAACAGTTATAAGAGATTATGAAATATTAAATGAGATAATTCCATGTAAAATGGATAAGAGAGTATCTTGGTGGTTAGAAGCTGTACTAAGCAATTGATGGTTGTCCTGTTAATTTTATTGTAGTAACTATCAAAACTTTAAATGTGTTGAGACAGAAGTTTCTTGGAAGCATCAGGGTAGCACTATCAAACTGGTACTTGTCTTTCTGTCTGCTGTCTTCTGGCACTCCGCTCTGAAGAGTTCATGGTGAAGATTTGAGGGGAGAGTTGATGGGACAAGAGGACTCATAGAGGGCTGGGAAGGTAGTTCAGTGTTAGAGTGCTTGCCTTGCATGCATGAGGCCCTGGGTTCAAGTCTCAGCATCACATAAGCAGAAAAAGCCAGAAGTAGCGCTGTGGCTCAAGTGGTAGAGTGCTAGCCTTGAGTTGAAGAGCTGAGGGACAGCACCCAGGCTCAGAGTTCAGGCCCATGACTGACCAAAAAAAAAAAAAAAAAAAGAGGACTCAGAGAACCTTACTGCCCAACTCCAGGAAAGACAAATCATAGAGGTAGTAGCTGGACAAGTCATTAGTTCCAGCCTTGAACTATTTGCTGTGATGAAGCCATAGCAGTTGATGATGACATTTTTGCCCCTGTGCAGAGGTCAAGAGAAAAGATAAGAGAGAGGGGGCTATATATGTTGAGGGGATCAAATATCCCCAAGATCAGTTTGTGTTAACTGTATAGACTTCAAAGTCACCAAGACCAAGGGAGAATCCAAGCAGAGAGCAAGGTTTGAAGTTGGGTACCCAGGTCTTCCAAAAATGAGCAGGATGATGGCCCGCAGTGGCAGTCCTTAGAGGGAAGGATGGCACCCAACTCTATAATGTTCTTCCACAACATAGGAAAGGCATTCTGGACCCTACAAAGAGTCTGTTTACACTGTCTCCCTGCTGTGATAAAAGGCTTGAGAGAATTGTACTAAAAGCACTGGGTTTATTTGCCATCCTTTGAGCAAGGCTTTTTAGAGAGCTGTCATTTAAAACTTTGAGATCTAAATCAGGCTAAGATTTCAAGTAGTGAGGGAAAGAAAGGCAGAAGGTTTGTCATCTACCACCTTTTGTGAATAAGAAAATATGCTGAAGAATAAAATAGACATGCTTATAGTTGGGGACAGAGAAGTTGAATCTATTACCAAACTAGGAGGAAGCTAAGTTGAGGAGTATACAGAGTGGAAATAAAACCAGGACTTTCCAGTTTCCTCCCTGCCATTGTCTTTGCTTAAATGCAGCCAAGCTGGAATCACAAGAAACATTGGCTTAAGCACTGCTGTGGCACTTTGAGTTGGCCCTGGGTTCTTTTAGCTAGAATTCTGTATTAAAGGACATGACATCCATTCAAGTATTAAAATGATTTTCTCAAATGCTAGACTTATTTTTAACTTTGTTTTCTTTCCAAGAGTTCCAATACTTCCCTGAAACTGCGAAGGAAACCTCGAGAAAGTGATTTTGAAACAATTAAATTGATTAGCAATGGAGCCTATGGGTGAGTTAATTGAAGAGAAGCTCTCTGTTATATTTTAACACACCCGAGTAATATGTTTATTCTGCACATTCATCTTTTGCCAAATAGATGCCAGGCAGGGACTTCCCTTTTCAGATCCCTGTTCCCTTTCCTCAGTGCGGCTGATATACAGTCAGAATCACTTCTTACTGAATATCCAACTGCAAAAATAGCAAGTGGCCCAGCAGTTGTTTTAGAAGGTTGGAAAGAAGGTTTTATAAAACAAAGGAAAAATAGTTCTGTATTTCTGTTTGCATTTATTCATTCTGCCATGCTGGGTTTAGACTCTTGGGAGAGGAATTATACATATGATATATTACATAAAGCTATATCTATACACGTACACATATATAGTTTCATCGATAGAATTGCTACTTGAGCACTACCTTGTATTTCCTATCTGATCACTAGTCAGCCTTATGAGAAAACTATTTAAAATAAGGCTGTTGGAAAATTTATCATGATATGTTCTGTTAATCCTTACGTTACACCAAGATTTACTAAATTGAGCCTAATCTTATAATCTAATCAAATTAGTAGTCCTCCTCCCTTGATCCCATTTTTTTTTCTTTAAGGAAGAGATTTATTTTCTAGATTGACATAAAACAACCAAATAATACATTTTAGGCTCCTAGGAAGTAACAAATTATCACTTTCCTTTCTTTTTCCTTTATTATGGTACCATTACATAATATACAACATAAGCATTATTTTTCAGGGTATTTTCATTGAGATATTATTGTCTGTATTTGTGGGATTAATTGTAATTCTTCATTACATGTAATATGAAAAAATAAGGATAATTGCCATTTCTATCCCTTTCAACATTTATCATTACTCTGTGCTGGGAATCTTTGAATTCCCCTCTTTTAGTGGCTTGATCTGTTTTTATAGACACACAATTACCTTCTCAGGGCACAGCATAAATAGCAACAAGATCTTTTTGAGTTACTAGTAAATACTGTGGGAAGGCAGTGAATGCACAGTCTAGGGCTTAATCCATTATAGACAGCCTAAGAATCCTAGCCTAATTAATCCATTATAGACAGCCTAAGAATCCTAGCCTAATTAAGTATTAATCCCTCTTCCATCTGTATGTGGAAAGCAATAAATAATCCCAGAGACATTTATTGCCATTTACGACACATTCGAACAGATGAGGTAAAGTGATTTTTGTTGTGCCACAAGGGATATTTCTCCTTGCTAGTTTTTCACCTCTAATATTTTCCACACCATTAACTTAGTGAAGAACTTAAATATTTGTGAGTCCTTTCTATGCTTCACTGATTTGTTTGCAGGACTATGTCAGATGGCATATTTCTTGATGTGGCTCATAAATACTTTCTTGGTGTTACATTTTTCACAACATTTTCTTTCCTTTAAGGACCTCACAGGAAGTTTTCTACATAAAAATAGTGTTTAAGCATCCAGGTGTTCTTAGGTTTTGCCTATTTATTAATATTTCACGTTTTTTTTGTTCTTTTGGAGATGGCTTGAGGAATTCTTTGTATATTAAATGGAAGAATTGAATGGGCTGGTGGATTGAAGCATTGCTTAATTCTACTGGCAGTGGAAATCTAGAAAAAGATGATCTGGGAATCACCACTTTCATAAAACTTGGGCATTTATCTTAGCAGTATTTGGAGTTCTAATTGGTTGAGTAAACTCATTTGTAGTGCAGTTAAAGCACTGTAGAGTAGATGAGGTATATCACACTTTGGGGAACAGTTGGGAATATACAAGAAGTTAAACAAGCTGTGAATCAGTAAACACCCAGGATGTAGGCCAAGTCATTAATGGTTTCACAAGCTGCCAGTCGGAGCCTCTGCTATCAGTCAAGACTCTTTTTTTTTCTTCTCCCTTGCTCTACTCAGATTTAATCTCTCATTACATTTCTGACAGATTTCCTCTCTATTTTAATTATTTTTAATTTGAAATTTGAATGGAGGTACCTCTATCCATTTATGCAGCTATAATGCTGATTGCAGGCTGGCTGAATAAATGGATCTCTAGATGCATAGTGGAGCTTGGTTGTAGAAAATGTGTAGGGCATCAGTGTATCCTTGTTTCATTACTCACATCAAAGGCTTAGAAAGAAGGATTTTGGTGACTTCGCAAACTTTAATGATGCTGCTTCTCACTTTCTAATTAAGAAGGGCTTCTATTTGTCCTGCTGAAACACAGAGTGTAGTGACTTTCTCTTCTTACTTGGTGGCCATTCTTGTGAAAAGGATGATTTAATTTCTTAACCAGGCCCTTGTGGCTCACACCTATAATTCAGGAAGCTGCAATCTGAGAATCTTTATTCAAAGTCAGCCTGGGCACATAAGTCAGGGAGATGCTTATGTCCAGTTAACCAGCAGAAAGCCAGAAATAGAGTATGGTTCAAGTGGAAGAGCTCTCGTCTTGAGCAAAAGAGCCAATTGAGAGAGCAAAGCTCTGAGTACCAGGGCGGAGGAAGCACATTTAATTCCAATTTCTTTCTCTGTTTAACATGGTTCTGACTATTAACTAAAAGAGAGTTGAGGCATTTCTTTATGCCTACTATATATTACTTTGTAGAAGGCTGATTGTCATGTCAAGTACTGTGCTGCCTCCTTGTCTGTCTCTTCACTCACAAGACGTCTGAATGGTAGTTCATATCACTTGTGTACAGGAAGGACAGCTCAAAGACATGGTGACAGATCCTCTGATTTTAAGCAATATTTACCTTTTGCTGTAACTAATATTGTTTAAAACTCCTTTTCTCCTTTGTGCTAGTACTAGGGCTTGCACTCTGTGCCCCACAGTCTCACTTGGCTCTTTCCCTCATGGTTTATGCTCTACCCCTTGAGCCACACCTCCAGTTTCTCCATTTTTGCTGGTTAATTCGAGACAGAGTCTCTCAGGCTTTTCTGACCAATTCTCAGCCTTATGAGTGGCTTGGATTATAGGCCAGGGCCACTGGTACCACCTGGCCTTTAAAGCTTTTTGCCATCTGAATTGGGATATAGAGGCCCTTCCCTTTTGTTGCTCTGATAATCCCAGCATGAGGGAGGCTGAGAAAAGAGGATAGCAAGTTTTAGTACTTGAGATACTTTTCACAGAAAGAATAAAATTGACTCCAGAATAAAATCACTAACTCGAAGACGCACAGCACCTTCCCCACACACTTTCTCTACTTTATAAACTCCATGTACATTATTCAAGAGACCCCTGAGTGCAAGCTGACATCTGCTCTTTCCTCACATGCTTCCTGTTGCCTTTCCTCTCCGCTTTCCTTTGACACACATCTCCTTGCTCCTATATGCAGCTCCACCAGCCCAGAATCCTATATTTGGCTCTCACAGCCTTATACAACTTACACACGTTAGAGCCACACGCCAAATAGGGCAGAATCACTGGGCTCTAGGTTTTGTTAACTTCAGAATCCACTTCTCCCCATCCTTCCACACCTCATTCTTGCCTGGGAAGAGTGTACAAGCTCCTCTGGCTCACAGAGAACACGTCCCTGGGTACCCTTTAACTGTATGTCACCTCGCACCCTGGGGTTTTCATGATTCGCAGGAAGATTGCCAGAGGTAGAGACAGACACAGTCTTTTCCAACTAAGTAAGCCCTGGGGCCAGAAAGCTGAGAAACAGAGGCCATGTCAGTCCAGTGTAGCATTAGGATATCCGGAATTTTATATTCTGCTCAACAGTGCCAATTGCCTTTTTCTTGCTCTTTCTTGCTCTTTTTCAATTTCTCCTGCTCTCTGCTGACTTTAGTAATTTTAGATCATCAACTTATAGAAAAGTAGGACAGGTATCTGTAAAAGAGAACCATCATAGTAAACAAATTCTAGCATGAAGAATAATACTTGAAAAGCAAAATACAAATGTAAGAAACCAAGAACATAAAGCAAACCATGGGTTGGGATATAGCATGGAAATAGAATGTCTGCCTAGAATGAATGAAGGCCTGAGTATGATCCCTAGGACCACAAAAACAAACAACCACAACACCAATAAAACTCTAAAAACTCTCTTGAATTTCTAATTATGAAGTTTAGATTACTTCTACAACTTTATCAAGATAGACCCATCTGTCCTGAGTCAGGGATTTCTCAAGCTACTACAAGACAAATTTCAATTACTTTAGGTCAGTTTTCCTAAGGATTAGCTGATTATTTTAAATACACCATAGTGTGGAAAAATAAAAAACTCAAACCAAAATTTTAGATACTAAAAATCTGAGATATAGATGGAATCTTTTTTTTTTTTTAACACTGTGCTACTAAGATCCTTATTACAGATGCTGGTCAGATTGAACTTAAAGCTACATTTCTTTTATTCTTTTATAAAATTCTGCAGAATTCTGTTCTTCTTCTACCTTCTATGGTTCCTGGAGCAATTATTTATGTAAGAAATGGTGGTGGCTCATGCCTATAATCCTAGCTGTTCAGGAGGTTGAAATCTTAGGATTGTGGTTTGAAGCCACTTGGGGCAAGAAAGTTCATGATGACTCTTAAACTCCAATTAACTACCAAAAAGCCAGAAGAGGAACTGTGGCTTAAGTGTATAGTATAAGGAAAGAGAAGGAAAGGAAAGGGGAGGGGAGGTAGGAAGGGAGTGTAGAAAAGGGGAAGGGATGCTTGGCTGAAAAATCCATTTGCCACCTTGTGATAGTCTAAGTGTGAATGCCAATATATTTGCTTAGACATTGAAGGGTCCTTGGCACTGAGCTTAAGATAAAATGTTTGAGGGAAGAGTTGGAAAGGAGGTTGCATGAAAACTGACTTCTAGGTAGGTCATTATAAAAAAATAAAGATGCTTTCCTTTCAGCATTTTGAGTTCTCAATTTTATTTCAAAATGATAGGTTCCCTTTTCAGAACCCACTCTTGGTGACAGTTACTTGTTTACCAACGCTCATTCCAGGGATTGCCAAGTTGTTTTCTGTCCTCTTTTGGTATATTCTGCTAGCATTATCTGATTAGAAGCAGCTTAAGTGACTTTGGATTTCTGATTTTATCCAACCAGTAATAGGGAAAACAAAAATAGAGTAAAAGCTTTTAATCTGATACAGAAAGAATTATTAATTGGTTAAGAAAAAAATCAGTGTAGGAAAGGATTAAAATATATACTTAAAACATTAAAATTTGACCTACATATGTGTTTATTGGTCTTTCAATGTAAGGCCTTTGAAGACAGCCAGTATAAGCCTCCCATAAAATACATTGTTTCTGTTTTCCCGTTTTAGCTTCTTTAAAGGTAAAATAAATACTTGAAGCAGTCTGACTGTAGGAATCTAGGATTATATGATTTTTTAAAATTATCCCCACTAAACCCCTTAGGAATTTCATTCAGTCATTCACATCTTTGAAACTTTCTGAAACATTCCTTTAGTTTTCTTATAAACAAAACTTCTCATTTTCAAATGGATGATTCAGTACGATATGGTTTGAATATTTACTTAAGTTCATTAATTTTGCTATCAACCATGCCTCAAGGGGTCTGGTGTCTTGCTCTAGAAAGTATCTGGATAAGTTTTAGGCTGAGATAAAATGGTCATCCCACAATACAGTTGCTTGACACCTTTGCCTGGGGTTGGAGGGAACAGAAATGCAGCTACAAGGTTGTCTCCTTTTCTGTTGAGACTATATTTCCTCTTGGAACAAGCACAGGGATATACACTGAGGCCCACAGGAGGAAATGCATTACCTTTTGTTGCTCATGTAAGGGCTCAGATACTCTCATTTACCTACCAATTTCATAGGAAGGAGATTACTCTCCATTGGATAACACATACTCTTAAGAAGCTATGGTCCCATCTGCAGACATTGAGTAACATTGAGAAATGTATTGCTTTAGTCAGTCAAGAAGAAGTAGAGCTGTGGCTTAAGGGGTAGAAGGCCAGCTTTATACGACAACAAAAAAAGACAATCGAGCACATGGGTCTGGGTTCAAGGCCCAATTTCTACACATGTGCACACAAATACAGAGTTAACTTGTCTCCTTTTTCCGCAGTGAAGATGAGTTTGAACTCCAGGTCTGGGTGCTGTCCAGGCTTTTTTTACTCAAGGCTAGTGCTCTACTACTTTGAGCCACAACACCACTTTCTGGTAGTTAATTGGAGATAAGAGTCTCACAGACTTTCCTGCCCAGGCTGGCATCAAATGACAGTCCTCAGCTCTCTGCCTTCTGAGTAGCTGGGATTACAGGCATGAACCACCGGGGCCAGGTGAATTTGATACTTTATATGTGACCTTTATGGAAAGATTTTTTATTTTCTTTTTACTTAAGTTAGCTAAAAGACTTTAGCCTGTTATAGGCTGTTTCTAATTGCCAGTGTATCTCTTGCAAACTGAATTCCAGCTTTGTAAAACCTGAGAAACACTGTGCATCTCATGGCTACTGTAACCCCGAACACCCTTACCTTCTGTCTTCCCAAAAATCCTAATACTTGTGCTCCTTTTCAGGGCAGTCTACTTTGTCCGGCATAAGGAATCTCGGCAGAGATTTGCCATGAAGAAGATTAATAAACAGAACCTCATCCTTCGAAACCAGATCCAGCAGGCCTTTGTGGAACGAGACATCCTGACTTTTGCAGAAAACCCCTTTGTGGTCAGCATGTATTGCTCCTTTGAAACAAGGCGCCATTTGTGCATGGTCATGGAATATGTAGAAGGTAAGTCTGGCTGGGACATGGGGAACATGATACCTATACCCAGAAATCCCTCACTCAGCTGTGTTGTTCAAGCTGTCTGTGTCTGTGCCATATAATGGCTCTCTCCATGTAGGAACTGAAGCCAGGCAATGAGATGGCTGTATTCCCAGTCATTATCTTTGGATAATTGCTGGTAAAGTGCCTACTCTACTATAACAAAGGGAAAATTAGTGCTAGATGGGAACAGGTTGTTTTTCTTTTTTAATAGCTTTTAATCCTAACTACCTTCCTAAAAATGACCATTAACATTGAAATATAAGCTATAGGATTTTTCCTACTTACATCTTGTATCACAAAACACATTCATTATAACCAGTCTTATTAAAAATGAATTAAAATATAACCTTTTCAATCTATTCTGTGAAATTAAAAATGAATTATAGGAAAGGAAAAACATTCTGGAAATCCAGACAGTCTTTCTGATTTTTAGGGGCTCCTTGTTCTATTTTTCCTATTCCTCCTCCTCCTCCTCTCTCCTCTTCTTCTCTCTCTCACTGTCTCTCCCTCCACCTCCTCTTTCTTTGTCTTGCTCCATAGCCCAGACTGAGTTAAAATTCTAGAACTTCTGGTGTCTCCCAAATGCTGGGATTACACGCATGTACCACAGTCCCACCAGAGTGCTAGGATCACAGGTGTGAACTTCCAACACTTAGCTTTTCTTGCTTTTTTTTTTTCAAAGTGGTTCATGCTGTCCACTTCAAATACTCCCAGGAATCTCATTTCTATCTTTTTTCCCCATTAAATTTCAGAGACATTAAGTGGCTATGACTTGCTGACATAAAGTGTATAGATAAATACAGAAAGAGAGAGAGAGAGAGTTTGGCTAAAGCCAAAGAAATTCCTGAGCATCCAGTTTAAGCTCTTGTCATTTTTTGCACACAATTTCAAAACTATAAAATGCAAGCAAAGAATAATATTCTTTAGTTCAAGTTTTTAACTGCAGCTGAGTAAAGTAAACAGAGGAAGGGAGGCTTGCTGGGTACTCACCTAATTTGCATTCATAGTTCTTTTTACCACATCAACACCTGGTTATTGTGGTCATTTTAACAGCAATAATAAACAGTTAACATGTTTGATATGTGTTGGTCTATTATATCTTAAATTCTTTACATATATTAATTAATGAACCCTCACAATAATCCTGTAAATGAGGACATCATTGCTATGATGGTACAGATGACACAGTCAGGATGGCCAAGACAAGTTTGCCTACAAGCTCTCTGTCTGAGACATATTTACAATTCAAGCTCAGGCAGATTAATTCCAGAATCCATGGTTGTTGTTTTTTAACTGTTGTTGTTGTTTTAGTGGTGGTGGGGCTTGAACTCAGCCTCGACACTATGCCTGAGCTTCTTTGTGCTCAAGGCTGTTGCTCTACCAATTGAGCCAAAGCACCACCGCTGCTGTTTTGAATGATTAATTGGAGGTAAGAGTCTCATGGGGACTTTTCTGCCCAGTTCCACTTTGATCTCAGACTCTTGGGTAGCAAGGATTGCAGGCATGAGCCACTGGCACCCTGCTAAGAATCCATGTTTTATGGCTTTTCAATTGTTACTGTCATCCAAAAAGGACACTCATGGTTCTTGAATCCAGTTTCATTTCAGAGCCCAACCTACTGTGATGATTACAACATCTTAAATCTTTATTTTCTCTCCACTGTGCCTTAATTGGAAATATAATTACTCAACACAGTCTTCACTTATGAATAAAAGCAATATTGCAATTCTGCAATCTAAACTGCTGGTCTTCATGAATCCTGCTTGGCACTGCACTTACTAAGTCTTTATCCTTTGTTTTCTAGGGGGAGACTGTGCTACTTTAATGAAAAACATGGGTCCTCTTCCAGTTGATATGGCCAGGATGTACTTTGCTGAGACAGTCTTGGCCTTGGAATATCTGCATAACTATGGAATTGTACACAGGGATTTGAAACCGGACAAGTATGTACATTGGGGAAACATAAGTCTTCTTTCTCAAGATACCAAATATTTTCTTTTTATGAGAGCTTTTCTTTTCTGTCAATCATGGGGCTTGAACTCTGGTTGTGAGCACTGTTCCTCAGCTCTTCAGTTAGTTCAAGGCTAGTGCTTTACCACTTGAGCCATAGTGCCACTTCTGTTTTTTTCCGGTGGTTTATTGGAGATAAGAGTTTCATGGCTTTTCCTGCCCGGGCTGGCTTTGAACTGTGATCCTCAGATCTCAGTCTCCTGAGTAGCTAGGAATACAGGTGTGAGCCACTGGCACCTGGCAAAAGATTTTCTCTTAATGTCATTCATACTTAAGAAAAATCTTCTACAATGTTCCAAACAGTATATGTGGTTATTTTTATATACGTCTTTAAAGGCTACAATGTTTTGGAATAAGAAATTATGAGAAATAGGAGAAAATGATGACTATAGTTAATTTTTTAGGAAAATACATACTTTTATGTGAACTTTTGACTAACAGCATAGAAGTCTACCTCTTTCTGGGTAGTTCCTATATTTGATATCATACTGACCTAGTCCTTCCCGATTTCAAGATAATGTACGTGATGTAATACTGTGTTTTTCTCACACCATTTATCAATTTTTAATTCATGTGGAGTTTATTTTGGTGTCTGATTTGATATACAAAGATAACATTTTCCCAAAGTGATTAGCTATTCATTTTGATACCAATTATGAAATATTTCAGACTTTCTCTACTAAGGTGAGATACCTCTTAAATCATTACACTACAAAAACCTTAAATGTGTTACAAATTTTATGATAAAAGGGACTCGTACTCATTTCAGAAAATTTGGAAAGTTCAATGAAAACAGAAGAAAAATTCCATCTGAAACACTGATTTCTTCCTAGTAGCTTTTCAAATCTCTAGTCCTATCATTATTCTAAATTGCTACGACCCTATAGCTGCTATTAAAAATTTCATTCCTTGACTTAACATGAAACATTTAGGGTATATCCAAATGCAACGTATTCGCATGTAAAAGAAATACAGGCTTTTGGAGGGTTGTTTTTTGTTTGTTTTCTTTTGTTTTTGTCCATGTCCTTTATCTGTGTCTCATTTGAATCCAAGATGAATGGCTTATCTTAACTACTGACTTAGGAGATGGTAGCCCTTTTCTATTTCCTCATTCTGAAAATGGGAAAGGAGTTAGAGTTTCATACCTGAATTTTTCTAAGAGTTTCAGTTGCGTGATGCTCTAGGAAAGATCAGCTGAGACAGCCCTCCCATGTGACTTATACTCAGCCTTTGACATCTTTGTGTGACTTCCTCTCCTTCTAGTCTGGATTTTGTCATAAAGCTGATACCAATATACGTAATAAGTCTTTCAAACTGACGAGGGGAGAAGGGAGCCTAAAATAAATAGAAGCAGCTTCAAAGTGATTGTCGTTCTCCGTGTCCTTCTGCTCCACAGCTTGTTGGTTACCTCCATGGGGCACATCAAGCTGACAGATTTTGGCTTATCTAAGGTGGGACTGATGAGCATGACTACCAATCTTTATGAGGGTCATATTGAGAAGGATGCGCGAGAGTTCCTGGATAAACAGGTAGGCTAAGATGCCGTTCCGCTCTACAGAGAAATAAAAAGGAATTCAGAAGTGACTTGTGTAGGCCATCTTCACATTAGTACCAGTGGGTTAGATGTCTGTATAAGCCTTACATTTAATAAAGTACAGATTGCTCCCATTTGTCTCCCTGGGCTTCTTTGAACTGTCCATTCCCTCTGCATTCCTCCCCTAGCATTATAGTCTATTAGCAAGACAAACGATCTAATTGCACACAAGTGAGAGTATGAGAGAGACAAATGGAAAACTGTTTTTATAAGGAATCCAGGAGTCTCAGTAGAGTACTTGTGAAACTCATGATGCATTGTACAATCACGGATGCTAAAATCTGAGCCATGGCCCATTTCCCTTTAAGCATGCCTCATTACCATGTGCCCGCAATCTGTTCATTGTAAAGTTACTTAAGGTAAACACATCTCCACTGTCCTGCCTTTGTGAAATAACCAGTGCGAGAATTGGTTTCCTCATATAAATATCTCCAGTAGTGACTGATTAAAAGTGTGCTATTGCTTTAAATTGAAGAATTATAAATACCTTTACTATTATAAACTAGGTAAAACTACCTAGATTCTTAGTTTGAAACTGAACATAACCAGAAATTTAACACTGAATCAATAATTTTCCTTGGTCTTATAATTGCTTGTATGTAGTGAGTGTGTTTGTGTGTGTGTGTTTGTGCACTAACATACATGTGCCTACTGGGAATCGGGGCTTAAACTCAGGGTCTGGGCCCTATTCCTTAGCTTTTTCCTGGTGGTAGAGCTGATGCTTTACCACTTGAACCACAACTCCACTTCTGGATTTTTGGAAGTCAGAAGAGTCTCATGGACTTCTCTGTTTTCACTGGCTTTGAATGGCTATCCTCAGAGCTCAGCTTCCTGAGTAGCTAGGATTATGGCACCCACCTTTTAATTGCTAGTGTTAAGATCATTTTCACATGATTCCATAAAGTTGAACAGGTTTTCTCTAGGCAAAATAATTGGGTTTAGTCATCTTGATCTTAGTTCATTTCTAGTATTCCAGTTGTTCTAATAATGCAATCATCTTTAGGTTTGTGGCACACCTGAATATATTGCTCCAGAAGTGATCCTGAGACAAGGCTATGGGAAGCCAGTAGACTGGTGGGCCATGGGAATTATCCTCTATGAATTTCTAGTTGGATGCGTACCATTCTTTGGGGACACCCCCGAAGAGCTATTTGGACAAGTCATCAGTGGTAAGTATCATCAAGAGTTAATATTGAAGCTACTAGTTCAGAGCAGCTATTTTATATAAATCTGTTGAGAATCACAGTTTTTACTGCTATTATGTTAACCTTTATCAAACAGTTGAGCCAACAAATTAAAGAACTCACTCATGATAGCCCATAACTGACTTTCACAATCTCAAGGGTCATATGTGTTAAAAACTGATCTGAGGAAATTTTGTTAGCGTGGAATTGGGAAGTGTGCTGGCTATGGGTCCAACTTTTATCGTGTACTATTTTTTTTCTTTTTTGCAAAAGAAATTGGTATGGGATTTACAAATGATTTAATTGTCATCTAGTTTTCCTTCCTATAATAGGAAAATTGCACCAGGGAAAAAAAGGTTAATGTGGGAAACAGTTATATAAATGGGAAGAATGGCTAATGGCACACTGAAGAAATTAACAAAAAAATGTAATAAACCCTATAACAAATGTCTTCCAAATAATAAATAATGAGAATGGGAAGGAAGCAAATTGAATCCACAGATTGTTAATGATTTCATTGGTAGTTGTTATGGTATAATGTTATTTCTGTAACAGCTGTTCATCTTTCATTTAAAATTCAATAACCTTTAGATCTTAACCTGCAAGCTGACCCTTACTGTTGTTATGGGGCTTGTGGCAAAGCTAAATGATAATTAAATAGTATCCATCACTATCTTACCTGCTGATTTTGTCAATTTCCCCAAAGCAAAGCTGAACAAGGCTTCTTTTCCTGAAGTTGGTCAGATAGCCCTAACATGTCCATCAACTACTTCTGGTCCCTTCTGGTCTGTATTTCCAGAGTCCACAATGGAACACAGAAAAAAATCATTGTGCTTATGCTTGAGCCCCTTAATCATTATGTTACTTTCTAACATTCACTTTGAAAGCCAAGCATATTTGTAAACTTTAACAAAGTAGATTTGTGAGTCGCCTGCAGTGAGTAACCGGTTTATACAATATCTGCGCTTTTTATGGATTTATAACTAGGCTGCTTTCTCACATACCAAGGCCTGAATGGCAAGGGGAATCAACTGTTTAATTAACACAAGCAGCAAATGCTGGCTTTGTTCTGGATGCCTTACGGCTCTGATGCATATTCATGTTTTATTTTCCAAATCAGATTTAAACTGCAGCAGAGGAAGCTAGAGGCAGGCACACACGGAAATAACTCATGTTTTTATTGCATTTATTACATACAAGCATGCACACCTATCTTTAGGCAAAATCTCTTTTAGAGTAAACACATATTCTAATATCTATGACAGAGTTTATATACTCCCATTATTATGATGACTTGGGTATGTCTCTTCTTTTTTAGTCTTAGCATTCTAGCCTTTCCTTTGACTTTAGAAGGTTTTTGTTATTGTTGTTGTTGTTTTCTTTTTTTGGACAAAATAAGTTTTTGTTTCCTGGAGCTGAGGAACTCAGTGGCCACAGCAAAATGAGACAGAAAAATTTCACTCTTAGATGATCCCTCATAGGCAGGCAACTGAACACAGGTGTTTACTTTCTGTTCTATTAAATCTTCTTAATAAACAGAAGGGGCGACTTGTTGGGAGCCAATTCTGCCCACAGAAATATAAATCAGAAAAGTGAAAACATAATTCTTATTAAAATATTTCCTCCCTACCCTGTGCAGAGCCATACTATTTCTGTTCTATTAAATTAACACTACTCTGGCCTGGCTGTACATTCAAGTCCAGTAAAGGTCTTAACATGCAGAATCTGGTTTCATAAGCCAGGTTAGGCTCAGGCTGTAGACAGGGACCTGGACCACCCTTCGAGCAATACAATTATAAACGACTTTTCTTCTTTCTAGATGAAATCAATTGGCCTGAAAAGGATGAGGCCCCCCCACCGGATGCCCAGGATCTGATTACTTTGCTGCTCAGGCAGAATCCCCTGGAGAGGCTGGGAACAGGTCAGAGCACAGGCATCGTGATTTGTTTCCCCCCAATATGCCAGATATAATGTCTTCTGGAACAATCTGGGGCATTGTTTGTGTTTTGTTTTTTGCATAGGCAACATCTGTTAGTTGATGTAGGACATAACAGCAACACATTAGAGCAATATTATTTGGATTGTGTTTTTTTTGTTTTTGTTGTCTCAGAGTAGCATAGACCCTACGAGGGCTACTGTTTGTTTTTGTATTTTGCAAAACAGACATTCTTCACTTGCTTTAATAAATAAATCCCAAGAATATATGCAATTCTTCTGTCTTGAAAAACATACATCTTAACTAACATGACAGTGATGCTCAAATAAGTGGTGCACTTTTCCTTTTGTTTTTAATATGTTCCATAAGGATTTAACCCAGCATGTTATTATCCACAGGCTTTGAAACAGGTTATCAGTACTCAAACTAATTACTAGAAATGATAGCCTGGGGTTGAACTATGCTATCCTATCACAGTGATCAGTACTGTGACCCTAGAAAGACTATTAAACACCACTGCCTTTCAAGATGAAGGATTAGGAGATTCATTTCTTATGGGTTATTTTTCTTGACTATTTTATGTTTTCTTTTCTTGCATAGATTTTGGATAGACAGATTAGAGATCCCAGGATACCTGAGTATATGAATTTATCTCAGGCTCCATTATTTTTCTCAGTGAAAATTGTTGATTGTAAAGATGATCTACTCTCTAAACGGTCTCATGCTATCCCATTTAAGTAGAAATATCAGGAAAAATACTTAATAATTTCTTCCTACACTTTTTCCAACATAAAATCCCTTTATGACAGTTCCAAACAACTATTATTTTTCCCATTCACCCACAGATCCTTGTTGGGGGTTCTGTTGCTACTTAGTATGGACTGATGTATTCCTAGAATTGACAACAATACTTAAGAACAGGAACTGCCAAACTCTTCTACAGGCCAAATCTGGCCTATTATCTGTTTTTACTAAAACACAGTGACATTATTTATTTAGTATTACACCTGAATGCAGAGCTGATTAGTCAAGAGAATTCAAGAAGATTTAAAAATGAAGGGTTAGCCAGGTGATGTTTGAGCCAAACCTCATACTGGAATCCCCATGCCTCTCCATTCTTTCAGTGGTAGGTGGACCTTTACTGAGTCATTGTAAATCAAGATTGAGGACACAAACTGGATCAGATGGTCTGAGTTATCAGCTCTATGGCCATGTGGTAGGTTTCTTCATGCATAAAAAGGAACCTTTATTTTTTTATTTTATTTTTTTGGGGGGAGGGGTCTGGTCGTGGGGCCTGAACTCTAGCCTGGGCGCTGTCCCTCAGCTCTTCAGCTCAAGGCTAGCGCTCTACCACTTGAGCCACAGCGCCACTTCTGGCTTTTTTCTTTTTGCTTATGTGGTACTAAGGAATCGAACCCAGGGCCTCATGCATGCCAGGCAAGAGCTCTGCCACTGAGCCACCTTCCCAGCCCTAAAAAGGAACCTTTAGAAATAGCATCTCTGTGGGGTACTGGTGGCTCATGCCTGTAATCCTAGCTACTCCAGAGTTTGAGATCTGTTCCAAGCCAGCCTGGGCAGGAAAGTCCATGAGACTCTTATCTCCAATTCTCTACCCCCTAAAAAACCAGAAGTAGAATTTTGACTTAAGTGGTAGAGTGTTAATCTTGAGCAAAGGAGCTCAGTAACAATGTCCAGCCCCAGAGTTCAAGGCCCAGGACTGACACCAAAAGCAAAAATAAAAACCGAAAAAGGAAAAAAGCATCTTATAGGATTATTGTGAGGATACAAAGAGGTTATCTAGGTATGGTTCTTTTTTTTTCTTTTTTTTTTTTATTGTAAAGATACTATACAGAGGGTTACAGTTACATGAGTGAGGTAAGGAGTATACTTCCTCTTGAACATTGTTACCCCCTCCATTGTTTTCCCCCTACCATCCCCTCCCTCCCTCCCTTCCCCGAGGTTCTTTTTTTTTTTTTTTTTGATTGTGAGTAAGTGATTACATAATTTCCGGAAATTCACAGTATTGTGGAATAATGATGCTCATTTAAAGTCACAGTTCATTCTAACTTTCCTGGAGCAAATTGTCTATCACAGTCTGTAATATATAACGGTGCTCACATGTTATATACCATATATGTGATCAGCAGCATGGGGATATTTAGTAGTGGTTCAACCAGATGAATGGGAGTTCTTTGTTTCTTAAGTCCTGTTAGCTTTGTCATATCACCTAACATTTTGGATTTAGCATCCACTTATCAGGGAGACCATGTACCGTTTGTCTCTTCATTCTTGGCTTACCTCGCTCAACATGATTCCTTCTAGCTCCATCCATTTCCCTGCAAATGCCATTATTTTGTCATTTCTAATGGCTGCATAATATTCCATTGTGTATAGATACCACAATTTTTGGATCCATTCATCTGTGGTGGGGCATCTAGGTAGTTTCCATATCCTAGCTATTGTGAACAGAGCTGCAATAAACATGGAGGTGCTAGGTATGGTTCTTGGAGCCAGGTGTGGTGCCTATGATGCCATTTTGAATTTTCTGCATTTCAAAAAAAGAAATCTCACCTTTTGGGGGACATAATCAGATACTAGCATAGTGGTGGTACCACTACCTTCCATCTGACTGAACCTCTTTATGTTGCCTCACCACTGTTTGCTTTTACACTTGCCTGGAATGATAAGCAAACTTGATATTTCCTGTCCTCCGTGCCCTGCAGTCAGATCGGCTTTTGATCAACAGATTCAAGTAGCTGTCAAAGAATTTGTGTCAAGATTGTATATGGGGCAGACTTTGAAGGAGTGATTTTTTACTCACTGGAGCCAAAAATGAGAAGCAGTGGCATTTGAAGATTGCCCTGTGATAATACAAAAATCTATTTAGATATTCTGTTCAGCTGACCCAGAGAAAGGGCCTCCTAAGATCTGACTAAAAGTATATTTGGTTGGACACACCCTTTCTGAAGGAGACTCAGAAACCTTCATCCTTCACTGTTCAAATGCCAGTTTGGAGAGGTTTTCTACATGCTGTTCTACCCCTTTCCCTCCTCTAAGAATACTCAGATTCCCTATTAGGCTTAACAAGACAGAGCCTGGATGGTGGTCAGCATTCCCATGTTTATGTATCATATGCTGCAAGTTATTTCTCTGCACATTTTCTTGTTGACTGCTACATTCAGCCTTTTCAGGCTTTGACAGCTTGAGGAACAAACCCCCTAGCAGAAGTCCAAAAGAGACATTTAAAAGACCCTGCTGAAGCTCTTAACATTGTCAAGAAGTATCTGCCAAACAAGCAAGTCCAACATGACAGCTCCCAATAGGACCCAGAGAATGAGGCTGAGGCTCCTGCAGCCCTGCCAGGCTGCTTCCAGTGACAGTATTTCATATTTAACGCATATTTAGTGGGCAAAATAATGCACCGTGAAAATGTGTGAATGCACATTTGCCCCAAGAGACTAGAGAGGCTGAGAAAAATGGTGTGAAGATCATAATGGATGTTTAAGAAACTTCCATGGAAAGAGAAAACTCAAGGGGGAAAAAACATTAGTGCCAAAACATAGCTTGCAATTTGGGGACTTTGTCCTACTTGAACTATACTCTTGAATTTACAGAGTGGCAGCCTAGCCCACTGGAACTTAAAGCTGCTCAGTTGTGACTGTTACCAGGATCCCCAGTGGTGGAGTCCTGAGTAATCTCTTCCTTGTCCTTAGCCTCAGCTTCCTTGTCTATGAAGATGGCATGTTACCTACCTGTCAAGATTATCGTAAGGAGTAAATGCAGAAATATACACAAAGAGCCTGGTGTGGTGGCACACATCTATAATCCCAGCTACATGAAATGAAGAGATCAGCCAACCTGGGAAAAGCTAATGAGACCCTATCTCAAAAAACAAAATATAAAGCCAAAGGACTGGTGATAAGACTTAAAGGATACCATGCTTGCCTAGCATGTGTGAGGCCCTAGGTTCAATCCCCAGTATCACCCCCCACCCCTACAAAAGTCCTAACAGTTTCTAGCTTTTGAACCTTGTACATCATAGGAGCTCAAGATATACTCCACATCCTTTTCTTTCCCACCTCTTTTCTCCATGGTGAATTCTTACAATGAGAACTATCTTCGTATGAACAATTTGTGTTTAGCTCGTATGTCTGCAACTATATTCCTGATAATAGTTGAAGCCTGAGGTCATCGTCTCCTCTCCTAGTTTTTCCCTTTTTTTCCCTTCTGTTCTTCTCTGTTAGGACTTCAGAAACAGAACCCACTGATAACCAAGTTCTCAGTCGGACACAAAAACCAAAGGGTAAGAAATATGTGGTAGGTCCTCAGGGGACTGTGACTCCTTGGGATCATCTACTTGTTTGTAGAGTTCCAGGGGAGGGAAGACAGAACAGCACTGTGGTCCAGAAGCGCCATCGGAGACCTTCACCTGGGAACAGTTGCATCTCTGGATTAAGCTGAGCAGCAGCTGAAATGCTAATAATCATCAAAGTGGAACCATGGCTGGAACAAGAGTCCAGAGATGTGTCGTATGAGATACACATCAGAGCCTGATGGTGCGAACTTTAGTGCCTGGTGAGGGAATGGGACAGGGAAGCACTTAAGCTCTCTCTTGGCCTTTATATCTACTGGATACTGGAAGAAAATGACACTGGCAGCTGCATTTGGGGAAATTGACTGGGACCTAGGACGCACAGTGAACTGGAATCAAATGTGCTGGCCCATTGTGGAATGGCCAGGTGAATGTGAATCCATGTCAAAATGGTGCAGAAGAAAAAGTGGAGATGAAGCAAAGCACAGCATGCCTCCCATTGTATACAACAACAACTCATAGCACTGTCTACACCTGAATATTTTTACCTAGATTTAGCCCTCCCATGCTTACTCTCTCAGTGTAATTTTTCCTTATTTTCCACATTTAAAAATGAAGTGGATGATGCCTACTTTGAGGGGTTACTTTCTATGATCTAATTTTTTTTTAAAAAGATACCTCTGCCAGATATCACATTGGCATAGAATTGGCCCACAAACCATAGGTGCTAATACACAGCTGTTATGCTTCACCCCAGAGCTAGAAACATGGAAAACACCTGGGTAGAATCTTCAATATACATTTTTATCCGTTGCTTTATAAAGAAGAATCCACTCTCCCTATTTTGGGGGTGAGTTTCCTGTTTTCTTTTCTCTGTGCACACCTTTGTCCTCAGTTACCCTTGTCTGGATTTCTTTTGGGGAGAGCCAGAACTGTGCCTTGTAGTAGAGGAGCCCAATACAGACAGAGCCACATCTTTGAAAGACATCGACAGAATCCTTTCTTGGAACAAAATCCCCAGCCCATTTTCCATCTAGCTTGCATTTCTTTCTAGCTGTTCTTTTTGTGTCCCACAAAGGATAGGATGCAGGCATGAGTGACAACTACATTCCAACCAGAAGAGATAGCCTATGGGGAGGCTGATTTGGACCCTGGGGGTTGTCTTTTCAGAATCTTTCTTCCTAGTGTTTCTGCAGAATCTGTTCTTTGTTCTCTCTCTCATGAACAGTGTGGTGCTCGTGGCAGGGTAGGGGCCTGATTCTCATGCTCTGACTTTTATATCACGCCATGATTTTATGTCACACCTCTCTTTATGTGAGTTGTAGTGTTAATATTCGCTATAAGTCCTTTCCTTGAAAAGTCATGAACTGAATTTAAAAAAAACTCATCAAATTGTGCTGTTATGCTGATTTGGCAAGATGAGCCTGGATTTAGGAATTGATTGTTTTTTTTTATTGGATGCATTATAAATCTATCCAACATGCCATCAGTCCCTTACTTAGGAATCTAAGCCAAAGAATCTAATTCCTACATATGCTAATGAGCAATCCAATAAAATTGAATGGTAACTGTTATATGGTATTTAGGAACAATCCATCATTATTAACCTCACCTCCAGAGGACATAGTGCTGTGAGCACATTTTGCACCTTGTTAGAATTTTTCTGGGTTTGTAATGAGTGATCCTGCTTTGGGCAGACATGCATCCAGATCCCTAGGTTCTGCATGATGTGATTTTAAGTGGCCACATCATTAACCTTTGAAAAATGGAGGGAGTCATGGAAAAATTAACAAGGAGACACCGTGTGCCTTAGCACACTGCTGTTAGCAAAATCACATCGCCAGCTGATCGATTATGGAAGCAAAATTTTTTGGGTTTTGGTAGTCAAGTGAAAAAGTTATGATTTCTATGTTGTTTCTTATTCTCTGCTGAGTTGTTCCCAAGACCCACAGTTCACCTTCCCTTGGAGGATAGTTCACCCTTTCCTCTCTGCCTCTGCTTCCCCACTTCCAGGTGGAGCTTATGAAGTCAAGCAGCATCGCTTCTTCCGCTCTTTAGACTGGAACAGTTTGCTGAGACAGAAGGCAGAATTCATTCCCCAACTGGAATCCGAGGATGACACGAGTTATTTTGATAGTATGTGCATTATCTGACATAAGACTTCATTTGGCTTTTACTGTGTTTAAAAAAAATCCAATTTTGAGCCTTCCAATCTCTACCTACACGTTTTTAAACATAATGGGGCCCATAATAGATGATACATAAATAAGTAATTAAAATACCTAAATTAAAAGCCAAAACTCTGAGTAAATGGTATTGTCCCTAACCATTTCTGTACAGCTCGATCAGAGAAATACCATCACATGGAAACAGAGGAAGAAGATGACACAAATGATGAAGATTTCACCGTGGAAATACGGCAGTTCTCCTCCTGTTCACACAGGTTCTCAAAAGTAAGTTGCATGGGGCATCAATGTTCAGAGAAGCTGCAAGAGTCTCCCACCTACCCTTATTAGATGGGCTGGAGCTCTCCTGTGCTTATAAAACTCCTTTCCAGTCAGGAAAAATGACCTCATCCTCTTGATAATCAGGAGTCTCCACTCTAGTGTGGAAGTATTTCTCTCTCTGCAAATTAAGATTCTTTTTCAAAAATAAATATTTAACGGGCACCATTGGTTCATGCCTATCGTCCTAGCTACACGCAGGAAGCTGAGATCTGAGGATCTAGGTTAAAAGCCAGGCAGATACATTTTGGAGACTCTCTTATGTTCAGTAACCAACAACAATCTGGAAGTAGATAGAGATGTGGTTCAAGTGGTAGGGCACCAGCCTTAGGGGGTGGGATGGGGAGACACTAAATGAGAACCCCAGTACCAGCACACAGAAAAAGATGTTTTTTTTTGGGGGGTGGGTTTATTTTTTAACTGTTGTTTTGTTTTTGAGGCATAGAGTTGCATCTATAGTCATCTCTGTGTGGTAGCTGTTTATCTGATGAGCATGCTTGCTGCCCTCCGTCTAGCCAATCCAGGCTGTGGAAGCCTCACTCATTTCTTTCTTTTTTTAAGTTTTTTATTGTAAAAATACTGTACAGAGGGGTTATAGTTACATGAGCAAGGTAATGAGTGTATTTCCTAGCAAGCGTTGTTGCGTCCTCCCTTATTTTTCCCCTACCATCCCTTCCCTCCCACCTCTACAACTACATTCCCCCCCCCACCACCTAAATTGTAAAGTTCATTTTTCAACATAGTGTCTTGTACATCTTATTGTTACAGTGGGTCAATCTGTATCCCTATTTAAACATTCTGGTTTTTTCCCCTTCCCCTCCCCAAATTAGAGAAGTGTATACACAAGATTCAGGGCACCAATATCAAATACAGTGAAAACAGGAGTTATACTGTGGGGGAGGAACATCCAAAGGAACAAAAAAAATCACATGGTACATTATAAATAGGTTAGAAACAACAGCAAGAAAGAAAAAACCACTGTGTCCCTATCTTGGGGTTGATTTCGCGTAACATCATCTTAACTAGTCATATGTACATAGCTTTTGACCTTTTCTGCTTGTCCCAGACATATACTAGTTATTGAAAATAAGGGAAACCATGGGACTTATGTTTCTTTGGGCCTGGCTTACTTCACTTAATATAATTTTCCCAATTCTTTCCATTTCCTAATTATCTTATAAGGTAGAATGTGAGTTTGTTGTGTAGAGAGCTCTTTCCTCGAGTCCTTGAAAGAACACATGCTACCTTGGGACCACTGACTATGGGATGCGAAAGTTGGTTTTGTTTGTTTTTGTTTTAGTGTTTTCTTTTTTGAGACAAGGTCTGTCTGTGTAATACAGGCTAGCCTCAAACTTGAAATTTGTTTGCCTCTTTCCCCAAGGAAAACTATTTAGTCAGTAATATAAATTGTAAGCTATAATGAAAGTCAGTAGGAAGCCGAACTAGAATTTGGGGGAAGGTAGAAAACAATAAAATTGATGCTTGAGAAAAATACCTTTTTACAGACAGTAAGATTTTTAAATTCTTTTTTTTATTTAAGGAAATTGGTAGTTCTGAGAGGGAGGAAAGGACTCGAATGTTTTTCTTTCTTCTATTGTTTCTAACATATTTATAAGATGATTTCTTTGTTGCTTTGTATGTCCCTCCCACATGGTACAACCTTTTTCACTGTATTTGATATTGGTATAATTTGTGGAGGGGAAGGGAAAATACAAATTGTTTAAATAGGGATACAGGTAGACCCAATGCAACAATGAGATGTACAAATCGTTATGTCAAAAAATGAACTTTACAATGGGGGCGGGGGGGAGGGGGGAAGGGAAATGGGAGGGCAGGCATGGTAAGGGGAAACAAAGGAGGAGGCAACAATGCTTGATAAGAAATGTACTCATTACCTTGCTCATGTAATTGTAACCTCTCTGTACAGTATTTTCACAGTAAAAAATAGTTATTATTAAAAAAAAACACAGAAATAAACCTAAAGGGCACCCTACCTCCTTTTTTCTATTCTCAGTTGCTACATGTTTTCTGTTGCCATGGTACCATGCATGATTACTATTTAGCTTTTCTATAGCTTTTCATGATTTTAAAGTGCTCTGTAGGTTTTTCTAAGTTGATTACCCAAAGTACATCTGCAAATTGGCCAGTGCTTACCCTCTCTGTTTATAAGAATGTCGCAGAGGTAGGATGTTGTTGGAGAGGATGGTGGCTAGTCTGTCTGGAGCTAGGACAAAGCTTGGCTAACACCAAATCTGGACACAACTGTTTGCCCATCCTACCAAATCCAGGGCTTTTAAATACTGCTTCCTGCTTTGCCTTGCAAAGTGTTTCATTTTTTTTCCCCACCTTCTGTTCTCTAGCCTAATCTTTTTCTCCTAATCCCAGTAGATCTCAGGTGTGAGGGCAAGTTGCTGAGCAGAACCATGGAGTATATACTCCCTCCCCTCCCCGCCACCGCCCCATGGGAAGTTGATGCCTCCCATCTTTCATTTGAGATTGCAAAGATTCTGAAATGGAGAGAGCTAATCTCTGGTCTGCTGAAGGAATCTCAGTATCTGCACAGGAAGCTTTCAGACTCACTGCAGGTGATTTGTAAGCCAGACAAGTTAGCCTGGCTCTTAGCACCAAGGATATAGTGTACACCTGCCTTGTGGACCTTCCCACCCAAATCTTGAAACGGATCAGTCATTCTTCCCTTTGCACTCAATTCCTTCCTACCTCTGACTGGTGGCTAATCAACCTTTCTGTGTTATTTCCCCTCCCCCCTTTTTTATTAGCACTATGATTAAACATTAATCAGAGATAGGCAATGATCCTCAGGCCAAGAAACCCCAGTATGTCTATAGATTTTATTCACACATCTGAAACCCAAGACACTGGGTACAGGGGCTTCAAGATTGATAGCTTTTATACTGAAAAAAAAATGAAATAACATACACATTCAGACCCTTCATTTCAGGAGTCAGACAAACACCATTGCAAGAACTTTCTGGATACCTGGTCACAGGTCACACTTCAGCCATAAACTCAGTTTTGTTTGCTTATTTATTTATTTTTACCTCTCAAGTCACGGGCTTTATCTGACAAGCTCTTTGTAGAAGATATTTACAAGCACTGATTATTTTGCCTTCCAGGTTTTCAGCAGTATAGATCGAATAACTCAGAATTCAGGAGAAGAAAAAGACGACTCTGGGGACAAAGCCAAAAGCACACCTTTGCCATCCACGGAAACATTAAGCTGGAGTTCGGAGTATTCTGAAGTGTATGTGAGATGACTCCTAAATAGCCACCTGCACAGTAGCCAAGGCAGCTTTGGGATTTTTTGTTGTTGTTGTTGAGAGTTTCTTGAGGAGGTAGGGGTGTTGAAATACAGATGCTGGATTCTCCCAAGGAGTATCCAACCCAGTTAGTAGATGCGGGGTGAGTCCTGAGGATGTGTGCTCCCAGTGAGTTCCCTGGCCATGCTGACGCCCCCCATCCATGGGTACCACACCTCAGCAACTATTGCACTAGATATATGTGTCATGGTCAGGCACACCCAAGAGTGTTGTTACCTGGTTCTTCCGAACATATGCTTTCATCTGTTTTCCAGTTTATATCGTTGACTTTGCTTTTGTTTTCAATTTAAGGCAACAGTTATCAACCTCCAACTCTTCAGATACTGATAGTAGCAGACATAAACTCAGCTCCGGCCTACTTCCCAAACTGGCTATTTCAACAGAGGGAGAGCAAGATCAAGCCACCCCCTGCCTTGGAGACCCCTGTGAGGAGCCTGAAAAGCCAGTTCTTCCTCCTGAAGAATGTGCCCAAGAGGAGGCTGAGGTCACCACCCCAGCCAGCACTATCAGCAGCTCCACCCTGTCAGGTAAGGTGCTGGCACTGCTGGTGCCACACTGAGAAGTGGTTCTGGTGTTGATCTAGCCAGATGGTGAAGGTGAATATTCCATGTTTCTATAATCATCCTGTAGCTTCTCATTTGGGGCTGAGGGACACAGGTCACATGCCTCAGCCCCCTCCTCCGCGCTGGCTGTGGTCTGATCTTATCCAGCCTCTCTTTGACAGCTGGCTTCAGTGGGATCCCTAGCAATCAGAACTGGATAATGTAGGAGAGGATGGTCCTAGTTGTTGATGTAAAGCTATGTCTTATAGGATGGCGTGCAACCCAAGAGTTTGGAGTGAGACACAATACCAGATGATCATAGCACCAAAATTATATTCACAAATACCTTCAGTCACCCATATGGTACAATATAAAGTGAGCTTTCTGTCCACCCTGACCTGATTGCTCTGACAGTATGGTACCTAGAAACTCAAACTCGGTGCCTCCTGATACCTTCTCTGTGAGACTCACAGGATAGCTTCCAGCCTATACGAGACTGCAGAAGGGAGAGTGAGGCAGAAAAACCAATGTGCAGCCTAGTGCCCGTGGCTCCTGCCTCTAATCCTAGCTACTCAGGAGGCTGAGATCTGAGGATCATGGGTCAAAGCCAGCCCAGGCAGGAAAGTCCCTGAGACTCTTCTCTCCAATTAACTACCAGTAAATCACAAATGGCGCTGTGGCTCAAAGTGGTATAGTGCTAGCCTTGAGTGAAAAAGCTTAGGGACAGTGCCCAGGCCCTGAGTTCAAGCCCCAGGACCCATCAACAAATAGACAAACAAAAAAACAACAATGTGCTTTCATGTGCTGTCTTTTTGCACTGCACATAAAGCAGCTCCATGGCAGATAAAACATACTGTTGGAGTTCCCTCAGAACATGTCTTTAAAATATCATTTGATTTATCAAAGGTGTTATACATAGTATACCCTCCTATTAGCAAGCAGTGCATATTTATGCTTTTGCAAAAAATGAAATAGTATGGCTTAGGGTTGCTAGAATAAATGTTTTCATTAAACCATATTCAATATGCTATATTGACAACCATAAATAATTCCAAGAATTTCCCTCAACATTTTTAAACTAAGTAAATATGCAGAGCCTAAGTTATTTTGGAAAAAAAATCATCTAAAAAAAGAAAATCCCAACAGATTTACAAGCTAGGCTTATTTCAGCCTCACTAAAGAATTTGGATCTGCCAAGCCTGGTGGCCCATACCCTGTATACACAGCTACTCAAGAGGCAGGGATCCAGAGCAGCACTGGTCAAAGACAGCCCCACTGCCCAGGCGAAAATGTGAGGTCTCATCTCAACAAAATAATCTTGGCATAGTGGTACCATTTATTATCCCCACTATAAGGAAAGCCATAGGAAGGAGGAAGATGGTCCTAGCTTGACTTCAGGCAAAAAATAATGTAAAGCAAAACTGTTTGGAGGCATGGCTCAAGTGGTAGAGCACCCACTTAGCAAATGAAAGGCCCTAAGGGAAGGAAAAAGAAAGGTAGGTGGAGAGAAGCTGGAGTGAGAGAGAGAAAGAGAGAGGGGGGAGAGAAATTAGGAGAGGAAGAGGGAGAAGGAGAGGGAGAGGAGCTTCATATCTGGTTATAATCAATTTGGGAGAAAAAAATGTCATATTTTCTTCATTTCTCTTTTCACCTCACATCTCTTCCTATTGGATAATTTCACTTATTTCAAACTGTAAAGCCAGGAGAATAGCAACATAGAAGTAAGTGTAGAGACATATATTATTCTACAATTCCTGATTGTTTTTAGTTCTTGGTGATCATAGAAAGTGTAGATGTTTCAGTATTTTACATTCTTGGTTACAAAGTTCCCCAGCTGGTTGTCCTGTCCTTGATGTTGTGAATTGTTTGCTCTTCCTTAAAACCTCCAGATACTCACCATCAGAAAGGTAGGAGGGAAAGGGAGGGGAGGAATGTCTAAACACTTGATTGATTACTTTCATAATTAAAAAATCTCTGCCTGGGTCCTGCCATGCATCTTGATTAATAGTTTCAAACCACCTTTCTCGCTCTCTCGCTCTCTCTCTCCCCCATACACACACTAAAAATAATCAAAGACCCAGGGGTCTGTACAGAATAGAGAGATGAGTTGATTTGCTTATAGCCAAGGGTAATTAGGGAACCTGAAAACCGTGACTGTAGTAAAATTAAATTTGTTGATTTTTATATTGCTCCACCATCAAAAGGAAGGAACCCTTGACATTTAGAGAACATTAAGGTGACATTATCCATCATTGGCAGTAAAGAAGTGTATACTCAGATGCAATTCGATGAGATGAGATGATGGAGGGAAGAGGAAAAGATGAGCGAAGGGGAAATGGTGCCTAGACACTTAGGAAAGTGAACTTTATGCCTCTCTCTCTCTCTTTTCATGATTACATTGTATTTGAATCCTTGAAATTGTAGATAGGTATGGTGCCTGAATGTACCCAGTAACTGGTCACTGTGAAGAGATTCCGCTGTATATTTATCATTTTATTCTTGTCATTTAGCCCATCCAAACCAGTTCCAAAGAGAAAGTTTGTGTCTGAGTCACCCAGCAGTAAGCTGAAGTTTGGAGAGATGAAAGTTTTTACTAGTGAAGCAGTTCTGAACAAGTTCTGCAGACAACTGATGGCTTTGTAAAGAATAGAATAAACAGTTAGGTAAGAATGTTAGCACACCGGAGCAAAAAGATTGTTGCTGTGTGCTTTAACATTGTCTTCTTTGATTGGTCAGGTGGATGTTACAGGAAAGTCCGGAAGGACTTTCTCAAGCCTGTCTCAGGCTTCTCTTAGAAGAAACCTTAGAACTGTGAAGTGTGTCTCTCTCCACGGACTAGAAAGGGCAAGAGCTGGAGAGTCATGTGTTGTAACATTTCAGCTGAAATGAAGTATTTGTTTTGTTGAATTAGGCCAGTGCTCTACTAGGCAAAGAATGTCATTTAGTCAGCATTTTTAAATGTTTGGGCTAGATTTTCAGAGGCTCTCGCACAGTGGTGTGATTCTCTGCATGGATTGTAGATCTTCAGATTTTAGTGGAGTTGAGGGATTTTAAGTACCACAAGCTTATGATATGAATTTAGAAAGGTTATGTTTCTGTTTTTGATAGAATGTATGAGATACACATTGCCTCTTCTCAGTGGATGACAATGTGTTGTCATTGGTTTTTAACCAAAGGGAAAACAGAAGCTAGGAGTAGTGACTTACACCTGTAATCCCAGCTACTTGGGAAATAGAGATCATATGTGGACATAGTTGAGCCAAGACTCCATCTCAAAAAAATAAGCTAGAAAGGGTGGTGCATACTCCACCATCTTCACCGGGGCCCAGGTGAGGTATGTTTGAGACGGATGCAGATTTGGGCAGAGAATGATTCAGGATGACTCTGTGATGAAACTTTTTAGCAACATTGCTGATGATCATCAGTGCCAGAGTATAATATGGTTGACCATGGGGATCCTAAGGAAATGCTGGTCTTAGGGGTTAAAGAAGCTGCTGTACATATGTTCTTAACTGGATCTGAGAATTGATTGAGAATTTAGCAGCCATGTGTACAAGGAGAACCAAGGCTGAACTGATACCTCTTTCATCTCTTCCTTCTCCACCTCTCCTTTCTCCTAACCAATCATGTGTTTTTCCTGTTGGCCTGACACCAGATGGACTCAGCTAACCATGAGTATGTTTCCCAGTATCTATCCTTCCTTCCCTTCTCACCCTTTCTCCACCTCTCCTGTCCTAGATTTTCCTGAATGTGTTTGTTCCTTCTTCTTTGTTCAGTTGGCAGTTTTTCAGAGCACTTGGATCAGATAAATGGACGGAGCGAGTGTGTGGACAGTACAGATAATTCCTCCAAGCCCTCCAGTGAATCTGCTTCTCACATGGCTCGACAGCGATTAGAAAGCACAGAGAGAAAGAAAATCTCGGGGAAAGTCACAAAGTCCCTCTCTGCCAGTGCTCTGTCCCTCATGATCCCAGGAGGTAGAGAGATGTCTACTTGCATGAAATGGTGTGATGTATGCATTTGTGCATGTGTGCCCTGTCCTCCCCCCACTTCCCCCGATTCTGAATGCTGGTGGAGATGCTAGATCACTCAAATCTATCATGGGTGGTGTCTCAGAACAACTGTTAAGAGCTTCAGAACTGCCTACAGACCCCTGAATTCTCCCTATAGGACCTTTGGGAGTTCCAAAGAAAACAGACAGGGACTTGCCTCTCACATTCTGTATCAGGAAATGAGAAAATCGTTCTTTCTATGAATGTTTTTTTTTTCCCCTCCAAGGAGAATGATGAATTTTCCTCCCTGGAATAATTTTTCTTCTCTAGACTATATATCATGTATATACTTTAAAAAGCTGTATACAGCATCTGTGTTGGAAGCTTAGGTATAGCTTTTCACAGCTAATTAATGAGGAAATAGACAAATAGAGTGTAAACTTTTGCATTTCTGGAGATACAGAGCATCACAGATGGCCCTGAAAGATTTTGAAGCTTTCCCCAATCCTGTGGGTTGGGGTCTGCTTCCTCCTACTGGTAGATAAATTGTTCTTGGCACTTTTTAAAAAATTCCCCCTGGAAACAGCTTCATCATAGTTGGGTTAGATCGATGTCACCTCGGCTGGTCACTTCTGTGGTCCTTCTGTGGTGAGGATGAAATAGACACCCTTGTGATGGTGACATCATGACAATGACAGCAGAAGGGAGGAAGTGGAGCAAAATTATGTTTGCAGATGGCTTGTGTTGGGAAGGATGTGGCCATGCACGAAAGGGATTGTTTACATTTATTGAAATTTCATATTTATGCAGAAAGAAATTGGATATAAACAAATGCTCATTTGGGGATAGCGCTCACTCTAGTAGATTTCTGTTGAGCACCATAAAGTGGAGATCTATATCACTAGTCCGAATGGTCCATCATAACCCAAGAAGTGGCCGCAGTCCATCTGCCCAGCAGGAGAGTTAGGCATGGTGCGGTCATCTCTTGAAAGCAGATGAGACAGCCCACTCTTTAGTAGCGGAAACTAAATCACTTTGGGGAGATCAACGTGGGATGGAGAATTAGGGAACTGGCTCTTTCACCCTGTCCTCTTCCCACTCATGTCACTGCTTACTGTGGTGCCTCTCTTCGCCTGGCCTGTAGCTAGGGATTAGACAGAAGGTAGCCAGCAAAGCGAAGTGGCTGGGGGCACGTTGAAACCAGAGTAGAAGAACACAGATAGCGGCATGCTTAGCTCTGTTCTTCTTCCCACAACCTAAGACCTGGAACATGCTGAGTGTGTGCACTTCCAGCTTCCTATAATCACAGTGGGAAGTGCCATGTACCTGTGATCACTGGGATCTTATAGCCTGGCCCTGGACTAGGCTTTTTTTTAAAACATCAGCATCTTCTCTACATTTCTCAGATACACACAAATTCCCATAACCATGAAGACCTATTTATAGTGATATGAACTGATTAAAAATATGCTAATGTCTTAGCTGTTCAGGCTGCTATAATGTAATACTTTAGATTTAGTGATTTGTCAGCAGCAGATTTGTTGTACACAGTCTTAGAGACTGGAATGTCTAAAATCAAGACACTGGCAGATTTGGTGTTGAGTGGGAACTTTTTTTTCTTCCTAGATGGTACCTCCTGTGTGTTCTTACAAGTGAGCTGGAACTTTGGAAGAACCACAGGCATTCAGAACATAGGAGTTTGCTTATAAAATTGTAGAATTGGTGTTTGGGGTATGAACTGAATTGCTCTTTAAATTAATCTACATTACCTGCCTTATTCTATAGTAAAACTAATTGTGTTTGCAGGTAATAAATAAAGAGAATCAATTGTAACCATAGTAATTATTTTATAAAGAGTTTATCATGTTAGTGGGTTTTTTCCAATTAAAATGTGTTAATTAATAGTACTTTAATGCCACATCAGAAAGCAGGTAGTAAATTGATCATGGCTTTCCTGGCCATATATGGCTGGAAAGAACCAAGGGAAATGATTAAGGGTAAGATTTGGAATCCAGTGTCTTAACTGTGGTTCACACACTCTTCTCTGCATACTTGAATGCATGTATCTATAATTAAAAATATCACAGTCAGAAAGTAATCTTTATGTCTTGTAATTAGAGAACGAAGGATTCATGATTGTTGAGTCTTAATTGAAAAATTAAATAGAAACACTTTTGCTGTTTTCTTGACAGGTTTCAGTTTTGCAATCCATGCCAGAGCCAATAGAAACCTTTTGTTTTTTGCATAATTTCTTCCTGGTTTTGCCATTGGTCATAAATGGGGTTGTTCTGTGGGGTTGTTTCCCAATCCTGGCAGGGCTCCCATGGTGAGGGCTGGCTGCATGGACAAGTGTGCATCCAGGATTGGCTTTGATGGCCGACTTCTTTGTTGCAGATATGTTTGCTGTTTCTCCTCTGGGCAGTCCAATGTCTCCCCACTCCTTGTCCTCGGACCCCTCATCTTCGAGAGATTCCTCGCCCAGCCGAGATTCTTCAGCAGCTTCTGCAAGTCCCCATCAGCCCATTGTGATCCACAGTTCAGGGAAGAACTACGGGTTCGCCATCAGAGCCATCCGGGTGTACGTGGGAGACAGCGACATCTACACAGTACACCACATCGTTTGGGTAAGCGCAGGATCTCACACACATCAGCCCTTGTTCCCAGCCACACTGGAGATGATCACGTGGCAAAAATATTGTTCTCAGCGAGTGCATTTGCTGTTAAGCTGGTGGCTCTTGGGAAACGTTTCATTAACCTGTCCAGGTGCTTTTCCCTGTGGATAGATGAATCTGACTTCACAAAAAACATCGCTCCTAATTCTGTCCAGTGTCTGCGTTTTTGCATGCCACATAGGCAGACAACATTCTTTCATTTCTTATTCCACTATTTTTTTTCAAAGTTCACTAGGTTTTTTCTTTTTAATGGCAACATAGGAATTATCCCATTTAGAACACGAGAATAGGAATAGAATAAGCATCATGACTTTGATTTCCTGTCAGGAACAGGATTGATTGCAAGGTAGCTCAGGGTAGTCTGATGGAAGAAACAGTTGGGTGTTTGAGTTGTCATCAGTGTGCTTACAAATATATACTCTCCTTTTGGAATTTAGAATGTAGAAGAAGGAAGTCCAGCATGCCAGGCAGGACTGAAGGCTGGGGATCTGATCACGCACATCAACGGAGAGCCCGTGCATGGACTTGTCCACACGGAAGTTATAGAGCTCCTATTAAAGGTACTGTCTTCTTTATATCATGGACATGCAGAAAAGGCAGGTATCCCTGAAGGATTAGTACCAAGAGGTCATCTTCTCTAAGGCCTACCCCCTGTGGTCAGGCTCACCACTGAAAAGAGAGTCACTAATATGAGGTTTCACATAAAAGCAAAACTACTGTGAATTCTCAAGTATTACATAGTGAAAGAATGTCTTTACACCTGCACACCCATTCCCTAATTTAATTTTGCTTCTCATTCTAAGTTGTGTATAGTAAGAACTCTCTTTGTTTATATATCTCTTTGTTTATATATATATATATATATATATATATATATATATATATATATATATCTTTGTTTATTTTGGATTCACCTGTCCTAAAGATGGCTTTCTTCAGGAATTTTTTTTTAGGTCTGACTATCATAATATTCAAGTATGAGGTCAGATCTAAATTTATTCCAAGAGTTGGTGTTCCTTTAAAGACAGAACTATAAATATATACACAGGTGCTGTAAGTGATTTAAAAAAGTAAGTACAAGGAAGGGCTCACTATACAAATGTATGAATTAAATGGGAATCAATTCCTACTTACAAGGAAAGCTAAGTAGCTCCATGGAGTCATAAGACAGGGGCCATGAAAATAAATGGAGAGAGACAAGAATATTTCCCTTCTTTCAGACAGATCTGTTGAGATGCTTGCTTTGCTGACTCCAGAATATATAAAGTCATCCATCCAAGTATGGTTGAATTTGATTTTAAACATTCTCAGGAAAACATTGACTTTTCTGATAGGAAAGACAGTCTTTACTACCCATGGGCTTGTGAGTAGGTTTTACTTCTTGAGTACTATACTAAGATTCTGTCAGGGATGGCAGCCAGAGAGATGCAAGCCTCATTGAATCCACAGCCCTCTTAAAGAGACAAAGCACGGATGTGCATTAACCTGTGTGGGGCGTCACTGATGATCTTGAGCCCTCATTGTAGACAGGACGGATGTGGGACTTAGGAGATGCTGGCTCATGAAGTACTGGACATGTATATGAGAGCAGAGTGAGCCCAGACCTGAGGAGAGGCATCCCAGGGAAGTGACGCTGAGGTGGGACTGAAAATAAAATGAGGAATTTGAAGGCAATACAGGTAGTGAGTGCACAGATCTTTTGAAACCAAGTGTCGTTAAATGACTTTTCTCTTCCTTTGTCATTTCCTAGTTCACATAATTGTTTTTCAAAAGATTTGGATTCTGATCTGGGTCCCAAAAGCAGAAGTGTATGTATCCTCCGAGATCTATTATAAGAGAGTTGTTGTTAATGATTAATTGGCAGCATTGATGAGCCTTTCATCTTGAGCTCAGGGTCTGTGGGAATTTGGGGCTCAAAGTTGAAGCAATATAATGAACCATTAGGTTCTCCTTTGCTTGCTATCCCAAAAGTACCGTAAGAAGACAAGGTCCATGTGGCTATTTTTGTTGGGTCCCAATTCATGTCTGATTGCACGTGTCTTTGTTTAATAGCAATTGCCGTAAGATGATTTGGGCTGGCCCATACTTGGGCCCTATGCCCTCTGTAGCTTCTCACTCCTGCATGGATAAGAGCCAAGGTGTTCAGTTTCACTTAGCATCTGTCTTTGACAATGAGGTAGAGCAGCTCTCTCAGTTAAGTATCTAAGAAATGGGAAGCCCAGTAGGACTGCTGACGTTGCAATCCTTTGACTGTGGAAGGAAGAAATGCAAAAGCTCTTTCTTCTGGCTAGCTGCTTCCCTAACAGCTCTCGATCCTGCAATCCCTATCCTTTGGGGATAAGGGTTCAAGGAAAGTACTGAAGGTTTTTCTCTCACATTCAATGTGAAGCCTTTCCAGTTGGTAGAGACTTCCGGAGCAACAGACAAAAAGGAATTTACTGTCTCTAAAATGCTCCTTCACTCTGTCTAGGAACCTACTTTGACCCTTGTTGTCAGAGAATAAGTCTGTAGGCGGGCTTTTCTTAGCTGTCATTCATTCTACTGGAGATCAGCATCACTGATTTTTAAAACACTAAAAAGATTTCAGGTGGTACTATGTACCTGGTTTCTGCATTCTTTATCATATGTATTATATGCAAAATAGCTCCTGCTACAGCATATGTTTATATCATGTCCTACATCTGCTCATTAAAGCAGAAGACAAAATACACAATAGACAACTCTACACTGAGGGAATATACACTTGTTTATTTTGCTGGGACGTCACGGAACACATTTTGTGTGACTTATTTTGTATCTTAATATGATTCTGGACTTTGAAACCTTCCCTTTTTGCTTCTTTGAAATTCAAATGTGAATTTCCCTCTTAAAGACTTCTGGCCAGGTCTCTTAGCAGAATCAGATGGTCCTCTATGTAGCATCTTGCCTCCTCTGGCTGTAGCCAGATCACTGCACAGCCCGCAGGCTTCCTTGCTGGCTGCCGTCATGGTGTGTCTGTAGTATGGTGGCATGCAGCCCTGGCACCCTTTGAGGCCATGGTATGTTCTGTCACACATCCAAGCAGAGGATCCTGCCTCTGGTTCATAGAGAAAGCACTCAGAAGGAGTAGCTAGTGTAATGAAACAAAGAGGATACAAGGGATTTAATTATCTTCCCAGCGAACTGTGTAATCATGCAGCTCTCTTCCAAATTTAACCAACGATTCTTGAGCAAAGAGTATAAGAGTGACGGGTATCAACAGCGGGCTTAGCCTCGGGGTGGCAGCTCTATTCCCACGATGTCCTGCTCTACAGAAATGCATGCATCCTTTAAAAAAAGGTGGGAAAGTCGCCACATAGAAACTCTAATATCTATTCTTTAGATTGTAAACATCGTAAGTATTTTCTGTCTCATGGATTCACACTGGGCTTCACTTTTCCTCACTGTCTCCAAGTAGACCTGTTATGGAAGCTCAGCCTTACACAGACAGAGAAACTTGTCCAGACTTTCAGCATGCTTGACCCATGGAATTATAAACAATGTGGATTATCTGGTCCACCTCCCCAGTAAGGACACAAATCCTTTCACACAAGGAGTTAATCTCTTTCCTGCCACAAGGAGTTCACTACTTACATTTGACTTTTAGGTGGCGTCGGTCTTTCTAAAAACATCAGAGATTGGCTGAAATCTTTCTCCACCCTTTCCTTATTCACAGAGGCCATATGGACCCCGCCATATTCCCTGCCTGCCTGATATCCTTCTTCTAGGCTTACCTTCTGTAGTCCAGACTTTGTATTCACCCAGGTTGCTGTCTTAAGTATAGCACTATTTTACATTGCTAGGCCTAAGAGAAGCCCTAAACTTCATGAGCTTCTGCTTCAGAAGTATCCTTTCTATGACTTGGGAAATTCTAGATACTGAAATGAGGACCACCAAAATAGCATCACGCTTCCCGCCTCTTCCCCGCCCCTCCCCCCATATGTGTAGTACTTATGGGAATACTGCAAGGGTCACACGAAAATGACACATAAGAATAACAGCTAGTAAAGCCAGAGTATTTGGTACCTGTCAAGCTCTGTCATGGTTGACAAAAATAATCTTAGATCACCCTCGGTTACCCTCTGAGGTAGATGCGATGAATATACGAATATAAACATTCTTGTTTAAAAAAGGAAACACAGAGAAAACTGAACAAGGCACTCCAGCCTGTCTGCCAGGGAGCCAAAGATAATTTGCACTCCTGCAGTGCACTACTGCACACATGCATCCGCCAATTTGCCAGTGTACCCTATAGTCTAATGCTCACAGTGGGAAATGGTGGCAATGCCAGACTCTAATCACAGCATTCAACATAAGGATCAGCCTGTAAACATGGCAGACGTTCAGAAGGAGGAAAGATGGCTGGCCACCAAGCTGCATAGGAATAGCATCAGAGAAATGGGGGCTATCTGTTCAGGGCTTTGATAGATGCATGGAGATTCATCATATGAAAAGGTAGTATAGGAGAATCTATGTGCAGGAAAGGCCTGTTCCCCACCTGTGTTTTGCAGAGAAAGGCAAGGGCATTAGATCTACCAGTTGGCTCAAGACTAACTGTTAAGGTAACACAGTCAGACTATGAGAGGAAATTGGATAGTGTAACTTCTGCTACTGGACTCAGTTCAGCCAGCTTAAAATAATTTCCCTCCTACTGTAAACATTCTTGAAAAGAATTTAAGTAAAAGTGAATTAACTGAACATTGACTACTGTGCTGACTACATTTATGTTGTTGTTGCTATTATTTTAAAACAAGTTTTGCCATAAATTGCTCATTTATCCAAGAGAAGTTAATTGAGTATAACCCTAGTCTGCAAACTATATTCATCCATACTTAGGTAGCACTTGCCAACTAGATCCACCAGGTGGCAGGCTTCCCAAATAGCATTTTTTTCCCCAATTATGTACCTTCCCCCCACTATTGTTTTCAATGTAATATTTGTACTCTACATTTTTTGTATGTTTCCCCCCTAGAGAAATTATCGTTGGAGTATGTGCCTACATCCAATGAATTATCCTCTGAAATAGCCATGTGTACGAACAGAAAGGAAACAGATTTGTATTGGGAAAGGGCAGTCAGTTGTTCTCAGAAAGGCCTGCTCCTCACTGAGAAGTGGTCACCCAGCTTTACAAAGCTTCTGTCTCCCTCATTTCTTCTTGGTGATCTGATACTCTGGACAGGCTTCCCACCAGGAGCATTCTGGCTTCTTCAACACCACTGGTGATAAGTATGAGCCAAGCACAGAAGAGATGGAGAGGATAAGGACGTACCCCACCCATAAGGACTGGGTTTGGGAAGGAGAAGTACTGGAGGATGGGGTCAGGAGAGCCAGGCTTGGAATCTTCTTTCACTGGGATCTGTGACCTGTGATAAATAATGTTGAGGCTTTTGGTTCCATTGTACTTATTGTTATAGGACATCCCAGACAACTGTATGGCCCTGTGTGTCCACTCAATGTAGGAATGTAAAAAAAAAAAAAATGAAGCGAAGCATCGTTAAGTGGTGAACTTCAGCCGTATCTGTTGTCCTTTCCCTTCATGAAAGGAAAACCTACCATTTTCCATCATGGCCCCACATGATTTGTGAAGAGAAGACCCCACCCCAAAGAACCTCCAGTAGTAAAACTTATATACTTAGTAGCTGAATTTTCTATTTAGAAAACAGACTATCAATCTCTACTACAAGAGTAAAGGTATACTTTCAAAGTATTTATTTGCATATAGAATACACGAGTTACCTATTTAGAATGAAGAAGATAAAAATCTGTGTATTGGAATTCAAACTACATTTCTCTAAAATTTTAGGGAATGATAAAGGATAATAAAGACAACAATAAATACCATGACTAGTCAAAGGCAGAAACAAATCATTCTCTAAAGAAACATAAAAAACTAAAATAAGAGAATCTTAACCCATAAGGATTGAAAAATAGAAAATAATTACAGGTTCGGAATGTGGCTTAGTGGTAGAGTGCTTGCTAGCATCATGAAGCCCTGGGTTCAATTCCTCAGTATCACATAAACAGAAAAAGCAGGAAGTGGCACTATGGCTCAGGTAGTAGAGTGTTAACCTTGAGCAAAAGAAGCTTAGGGACAGCATCCAGGCCCTGAATTCAAGCCCCAGGACTGGCAAAAAGAAAAAAGAATTGCAGAAGGTAAATAGCTAAGTAAGTTATGGCTCACCCAAGTGGAAGAATCTAGTATGTGGCCAATAACAATCTCACTTTTAGAGACTGTTCAATGATGAAAAATTATATAATGTGAAATTAAGAAACAAATCTACAGGGGCTGGGAAGGTGGCTCAGTGGTAGAGCACTTGCCTTGCATGCCTGAGGCCCTGGGTTCGATTCTCCAGCACCACATAAGCAAAAAGAAAAAAAGCCGGAAGTGGCACTGTGGCTCAAGTGGTAGAGCACTAACCTTGAGCTGAAGAGCTGAGGGATAGCGCCCAGGCCCAGAGTTCAGGCCCCACGACCGGACCCTAAAAAAAAGAAAGAAAGAAAGAAATCTACAGAGTAAAAATAAAACTATTTATAAAATATATAAATATACATGTATATTTATACATGTCTTAGAAAGTTGGGGGAGTGGTCAAGAGGAGGATATAGCTTTAAAACTAATGGTAGAACACTTGTTTAGCATACACAAGACCCTGTGTTTTAATTTATACTTCCATTTTTTTTTCTTACTAAGTAGTCTTCCCTTCCCAATTGGGGGAAGAGAAGAATAGATGTTATAATTACAATAGTTACTCCTTGTGTTTTCAACTGTACCCACAACCCTTCATTTCCTATAACTTGATACCATTTCTCAACCTCAGCCACTGGGTCCCTTCCCGGCAAAGGCCTTTGGAAAGGCCCTTTCCTTATAGTGCTTGTCATTGCAAGGTCATCAGAGCCCCCTCTGACTTTGTTTTTGTTGGTGGTGGTGGTGGTTGTGGGGCCTGAACTCTGGGCCTGGGCACTGTCCCTCAGCTCTTCAGTTCAAGGCTAGTGCTCTACCACTTGAGCCATAGCACCACTTCCAGCCTTTTTCTATTTACGTGGTGCTGAGGAATCAAACCCAGGGCCTCATGCATGCAAGGAAAGTACTCTACCACTGAGCCATCTTCCCAGCACCACCACCCCCCACCCCGGACTTTGAAAGAACATGTCTCTCCCCTGGTTATTATGAAATTCAAGAAATTGTGAAAGTCCAAGTAACTCACCACCTGCCCTCAGCACCCCTCACCTGGCTGCCAGCACCATACTTTACCTTATGCTTGGTGGTTGCCCACCATGTCCCTTCCCAAAACTCAGGGAGGAGACACAGAACCAACCAGGAAGCAAGGAAATACCTTACTGTGTGCAGCCTGCATAGAGAGATTTCCCACTGCCTGGCACATACTCTCTAGCTCTGCAGGCTGACAGGTTTTATGATAATAGGAAAAGAACCTTTTAAGAATCATTAAACATAAAAGTCTCATTCAGTTTTGCTGCTCTATGATTTCTAGGCCAAAGGAAAAACACAAAAACAGAGGGGGAAAAAAAGAAGAAAAATATATCAACCAAGACTAGACAGCCACTGGGCACATTTCTACTTAATGCATATGAATGAAGCTAACCGTTATTTATAGAGGCTTTCCCATAAGGCCTTCCCTTATCACTCGGTGCTAAAGGTTTTACAAACTCTTCATTTGCTCCCTGGATGAGCACTGAGAAATGAGATAGATAGAATCCAGCCCTCACCTTTAGCTAGTACAGTGGGAATATGGACTCATGAGGTTCAGCAGCCTGCTGAGGTCACAGAGCTCAAGTAGGAATTCAAACCAATGGCTCCAGAGCCCACCCTCTAAAGACACTTCCTTTTTGCCAGCCATCCCATTTGAATTGTCAGGACTTTGGGGAGAGAAGGGTTATTTAGAAATGGAAGGACTTTTGGATAAATGCCTCTGTCTCTTTTGTCTTCCAATCTTTAACTCAGTTCAGATCTTGCTTTATTATAGCATTTCTCTTTAATACCACCTAACCTTTTTTTTTTCTTTTAATAGAGCGGAAATAAGGTGTCAATCACCACGACCCCATTTGAAAACACATCAATCAAAACAGGACCAGCCAGAAGAAACAGCTATAAGAGCCGGATGGTGAGGCGGAGCAAGAAGTCTAAGAAGAAGGAAAGTCTAGAGAGGTTAGTTAAATGGATCTTCCCAAATTTGGTGTACACTTACCCATGTAGGAAAAAAGTTGTTCCTTAACATACACTCTGACTTAGAAGAGAGAGCTATTTTACCATGAGAAATTGCATGCCACAATTTACACATGCATATACATTAAAGTTCATATTTGTTAATACCACTCTTTTTCATGGGAAAATTATTGGGATATTTTATAGTACAAAGATTCTATCATCTTTGATTACCTGTGAGTACCACAAAGAGCCCTTTGCTCATTTTTAAGCCTCTTAGACTTCATTTCAGTAGAGGTAGATTTCTGGAACTGGGCCATCAGGCAGTTTTTCACATATCATATCTGCATTGTAAATGTACTTTACTAATGTAAACATGGTTGTTTTGTAGCCAGACATACCAGAATAACTACATCCTTAAAGCTTCCAAATATAGACCAGAAATAAAGGGGCTCTTTCTCAGTAACAAAAGCCCAGTGAGTTGACATAAACCTGGTGTATGGGGCACTACATGTCTAACCGTGTTCCACGCAGAGGAAAGGGAGACGCATGCTTGTGCTCCAGGCAGGGATTTTTCTTGCCAGGTGGGTTTGGCTTGTGTGTGCTGTAACCTGTGTCCTTCACTCACTTGGACCTGGCATAGTCATCATATGGAGACTTTGAATAGAGATAGAAAGATACATGTGGAAATGAGTAATCAGTTCTGGGAAAAACAAAGCTATATAAGAAGGAAAACAGAATTATACTTTCTATAGTCTAGCTGTGATGTGAAAATTAAACATGAGCTGTTTCTAAAACCAATTTTTTTTCCTTTGGTTGTGGGGCTTGAACTCTGGGCCTGGGAGCTGTCTCTGACCTCTTCAGCTCAAGGCTAGTGCTCCACCACTTGAACCACAGTGCCACTTTTGGTTTTCTGGTGGTTAATTGGTTATTAAGAGTTTCAGAGACTTTCCTGTCCAGGCTGGCTTTGAACGATGATCCTCTGATCTCAGCCTCCTAGTAGCTACAATTATAGGTGTGAGCCACCAGTGCCCAGCTTAGAACCAAAATTTTTTGAGTCAGCTATATTGGGAAGAATAGAAAAAAGGCCATAAGGTGTTGTGAGTCAAAAGTGATTGTATAAGAATTTAATTCTCATCCTTCAGTGTAGCAAATCAACAGGATTTCTACAGCCAAACAAATTTAAATATAGTAATGTAGGCATAGGATTTAGCAATATACAGACAAATGAGAGTAAAGAGGCAAAAGAATAGAAGCTAGTTTCCCATTCATTTCTCTGAGGGAGTAGAGAGAAAGTAAAGTGTTTCCACAAATTCTAGGCTCCTTCTACTCTTTTAGATTGCACTTTATATTTTGGATGTGCTTTAGGTTATAGAGAATAAGCTACTCTAGAAGGTATAGAAGCATTACAATTTAGTGTTTAAGCTCACCTTGATAGCAAAAGAGTTCCAGCTAGCCACATGTGCAGATAAGCCTGAGGCAGCTGTATTATTATTATTATTTTTTATCTTGCACTCACTGAGCTCTAAGTGCTCAATGTGTCTGTGGCACAGTGTCTGCTGTCTACTGATAGGGAAGGCCTCCGCGTTACCTTGCCTGGTGTCATCCATGTAAACATAGCCCGCATTGTTGTTGGGAATATTCAAGAGCCCACAACGGAATGAGCATAGCAAACAGCCCTCCACAGATAAAGCCCCTGCCCAGCATCTCACCATTACAGGATTCTGTATCCAGACTAATGGTTTCATTTCTATGGATTTATTTGTATTATTCTTGATTAAATCATGCTGACATAGATGCGGTATGCCCTAAGAAGCTTTCACACAAAGAAGACTCTTACCATAAACCTAATTAGTATGTTTTTAATGTATTTATAACTCTGTTTTCCCAGATCTTCCTAAGTGTTTGGAATTAAATGTACCTGCATGAATACTGTCCCACACTATTCCTCCTCCTCCTCCTCCTCCTTCTCCTCCTCCTCCCCCTCCTCCCCCTCCTCCTCTTCCTCCTCCTTCTTCTCCTCTTCTTCCTCCTCCTCCTCCTCTGGTAGTACTGAGGCTTGAACTCAGGGCCTGGGCACTGTCCCTGAGCTTAATAAAGGCTGGTACTCTACCGCTTGAACCACAGCTCCATTTCCAGTTTTTTTGGTGGTTAATTATAGGTAAGAGTCTCACAGTTTTTCCTGCCAAGGCTGGCTTTGAACCTCGATCCTCAGATCTCAGCCTTTTTGAGTAGCTATGATTATAGGCGTGAGCCACCAGCACCCAGTTGGGACTGTTCCCTTCTAAGGCCTCAGGAAGTAGCCTCCTACTCTCTGCAGGCAGATACCATCTGACACTCAGGCACTGAGTGAAGACACTGTATCGTGGGCAGGCAGGAGAGGATCTGAAAGTAAGCCTGATCTGTTATTTCCTATTTCCACACTAGGAGGAGATCTCTTTTCAAAAAGCTAGCCAAGCAGCCCTCGCCTTTGCTCCACACCAGCCGCAGTTTCTCCTGCTTGAACCGGTCTCTGTCATCAGGAGAGAGTCTCCCCGGCTCCCCGACACACAGCCTGTCCCCTCGCTCCCCTACCCCTAGCTACCGCTCCACCCCTGACTTCCCATCCGGTGAGTGACCCCCAGGTCTTGACGCCCTAGAGTGCGGAGAGGCAGTGAGGTCATCCTTGGTCCTTTCTGAGAAGCAGGCACTTAGGCCAGCCCGGGGAAGGCAGGTGGCGGAGGTGAACGGCAGGACCGGAGGGAGGACACAGATGGGGCTGTTCACTGACTATTGAAATAAGATTAGCATGAGGGGCTTTACGGGAGAAGCATTCACTCCTCACCTTTACCTGACAGGCCTCGGGGGGATAAAGGAAGACAACCCTGCGTACTTACCGCCTTCTATCTTTCACCCACAGGTACGAATTCCTCCCAGAGCAGCTCCCCCAGTTCTAGCGCTCCCAACTCCCCAGCAGGGTCTGGGCACATCCGCCCAAGCACTCTCCATGGCCTGGCCCCCAAACTCAGTGGGCAGCGGTACCGCTCTGGAAGACGGAAGTCGGCTGGCAGCATCCCGTTGTCCCCACTGGCCAGGACACCCTCTCCCACCCCCCAGCCCACCTCCCCTCAGCGCTCACCATCCCCTCTGCTGGGACACTCACTGGGCAATGCCAAGATGGCACAAGCCTTTCCTGGCAAGATGCACTCTCCTCCCACCATCGTGAGGCACATCGTGAGGCCCAAGAGTGCCGAGCCCCCCCGCTCCCCGCTGCTCAAGCGGGTGCAGTCCGAGGAGAAACTCTCCCCTTCCTACAGCAGTGACAAGAAGCACCTGTGCTCCCGCAAGCACAGCCTGGAGGTGACCCAGGAGGAAGTGCAGCGGGAGCAGTCCCAGCGAGAGATGACCCTGCAGAGCCTGGAGGAAAACGTGTGTGATGCCCCGTCGCTCAGCCGTGCCCGGCCTGTGGAACAAGGCTGCCTGAAACGCCCCGTGTCCCGGAAGTTGGGCCGGCAGGAATCTGTGGATGACCTAGACAGGGACAGACTGAAGGCCAAAGTGGTCGTGAAGAAACCAGATGGCCTCCCAGAGAAACAAGACCCCCATCAGAAAGCCCCCAGCCTCAACACTGATTCAGAAAGTCATGCTCTCTTCAGGCTAGAGGAGAGAGAGAAGAAAAGCTACCCCAAACCATTAGAAAGGGCAGGTCATTTTGATAACAAAGCAGTGGAGGCCCCTTCTCTGGGCAGCCTGTTAAAAGATGCTCTTCACAAGCAGGCCAGCGTGCGGGCCAGCGAGGGGGTGACTCTAGATGGGACAGTGCCTGGCCACAGCCTGGCCCCTGGGGAGCATGGTCACGGTACAGGTGACTTTAAACGGGCCTGCACCCCTACCACGCTCCAGGACGGGCTTTGTCACTCCCCTGAGAGGCCCGCCCCTGGGAAAGGGGAGAGCACAGAGAAGACCTCCCAGGCCAAGGAATTCATTCGAAATGACAAGTTAGACGGCAAGCTGGCTAATATTGATTACCTCCGAAAGAAAATGTCCCTCGACGACAAAGACGATAACCACTGCTCCATGCTCAAGCCAAAGATGACATCCAATACCCATGAATGCCCGGCGGGAAATCCAGTCCGGCCTGCAAATGGGCATCAGGAGCCCGAGAACCGGGCATATGTCAGCAGTGCCCATGTGGCTTCGATGAGTGGTGTGCCCTTTGTTCCCCTCAAAGCCTTAGCTGGCCGGGGGGATGGCGGAGCAGAGAAGCCAGGCTTGGCTACCCCCGAGTCGCCGGTCAGGAAGAGCCCCTCTGAGTATAAGTTGGAAGGAAGGTCAGTTTCGTGCCTGAAGCCCATCGAGGGCACACTGGACATTGCTCTCCTATCTGGACCTCATGCTTCTAAGACACAGCTGCCTTCCCCAGAGCCTGCGCAGAGCCCCAGCCCAGGTGACGACATGAAGCCCTCTGTGCCACTGGCCCTCGCTGGCAGCAGTGGCAAAAAGGGTGACCCTGCCAGCTTAAAGATGAACAAGTCCTACCTGCTAGAGCCTCGGTTCCTCCCCCCTGCCCGGGGTCTCCAGAACTCACCAGCAGCTCCCTTGCCAGACTCAGACTTAAAACAAACCAGGAAAGTTGCCCAGGCTGCTGCCAGAAGCTCGGTGACAGTTGTGGAGAGTCAGCCCCAGCCGCGGGAGGGGAGTCCCAAACACCAGGACCGGTCCACAGACATCAAGGTCATGGCTAGCCCAGGGCAGACCCTGCAGAGCACTGACCCGGCCAGGCCAGGCGTCCCCCTCCCACCCAGAGAGGTCCTCCCAAGAGAGAAGCCAAGCCCGAAAGAGCGGTCTGAAAGGGGGCCGTCCACAGCCCGGAGTGAGCGTGCTATCATGAGGGCAGAGGTGCACCGAGAACCCTCAGTGGAGTTGTATCCTCCAGAGACAGCTAAAGCCAGTGACAGTTCCAAAAATCTGCCTTCGGGGGGAAGGACCCGCCCAGATGTCTACATGCAGACTCAGGCCATGGAGAAAGCATGGGGGCCTTGTGCAAAAACAAACCTGAAAGATGAGGGGAGGGCCCTGGCCAAGGAGGACGCCTCCCCCTCAGCTGGGAGCCACTGTGATAAAGAGGCGAGCAAGGGGAGACACAGCCTGAACCCCAAACCTGAAGTCCCTCCTGCCCGCTGTGCTCCAGAGCCTCCAGGAACTGAAAAGCTCCCTGCGTTCATTCCTTTGCAGAAACAGAGTCCCAAGGAGCTAGAGAGGAAGGAACAGCCTCTTCAAAGGGTGATCAGCAGTGGCCCTCAACTTGTCCTGACCACCAAAGAGCTGCCCAGCCCGGCCGCGTGGCAGCACTGCAATAGTCCAATCCCTGCTTCCGCCAGGGAACCTGGGACCAAGCCCGCTCCTGTAGAACCCGGTCCCTGCCTCCAGGACTCCTCCAGGCCTGCTGCTGTGCACACTGACAGCAGCAGCCACAAGCCCAGGCCCGGCCTTGACCCCAGCGCCCCCAAGCCCAAGCACCCAGACAGGCCCCTTTCATCCCAGAAGCCAAGCGTTGGAGCTACAAAGGGCAAAGAGCCTGCCACGCAACCCCTGGCTGGCTCCAGCAGAGAGGGGAAAAGCACTAGCAAGTGTGTGGATGTGTTTCTTGTTGTCCCAGCCACCCAGAGCAAAGCCAGTGATGCGGTGGGCCATGGAGAAGGGGGTCCTTCCAGTCCACTGCACGCTGAAGAGGGTCCTCCTGAGGCCAGGCTGAAAGCCACCATTGGTGGACGGCCACTGGATACACAAGAGAAGCCAGTGCATTTGCCAAGGCAAGGCCACCTAGAGCTCGGCGAGGCCGTAGACCAGAAACTTCCCGCTGCCAGTGAAAAGCAAAGCTTGTCTCCAAAGCACCCCAAACCATCCACTGTGAAAGACTGCCCCCCTCTGTGCAGACAAACAGAAAGAAGCCCCAATCAGCAGGTCACCCCCACAGATAGGAAGCCAGAAGGCAAGAAATGCACAGAAGCACTTTATGTTCCAGCAGCTGACAACAAGCTGGAAGCCAGCCTTTCCCACGGGCACGGGGACACACGGGCTAAAGGCTCAGAGAGGCCAGTCATGGGCGTGGGGAAGGGCTTCCCAGAGGCCAAGGGGAAAACGCCTGCTTCTCAGAAGCCACCGGCTGAGGCTAGTAAGTCTAGTAGCATGAAACGCTCAACTTCGGTCACTGGGCAAAGTAGCCTCCGCCCCGCCACCCTCCCAGAGAAGACTCTGAGCTTCTCCTCCAGTTTCCCTGAGAACCGGCCAGGCACGTCAGAATCCACCACAGTCAGCACTGACCCCTCTCCCGCCAAGACCAAAGGGGTCACTCCTGAGACCGTAGGCCCCAGCCACAGAGACCACCGGAAGTCTCAGTCTGAGGAGGATGGAAAAACCCAGATGACCAAGAGTGACTCTTTGCCAACCTTCCGCCTCTCTGGCACTGCCCAAGAGTCTCACCACACTGACCCACACGTGCCAGGTGGACCTGGCCATCGGCACAGGGCACTGTCAGTAACTGCCACCATGGGAGAAGCCAAAGGGAGAGAGCCTGCCTCTGCCCAGCCTCCCCTGGCCAGGAAACAGAACACAGGCAGGGAGGTGACCAAGGCGCCCCCAGCCCCCAGCTCCGACCGCCCTCTCACCCTTTCCTCTGAGAAGGACTTTGTAGTACGGCAGAGGCGAGGCAAAGAGAGTTTGCGTAGCAGCCCTCACAAAAAAGCCTCCTAACAGGACAGGGCTCTGGGGACCCAGCCCGAACCTGGAATTGAGTCTTGACCACCAATGAAAACCAGCACTGTGTGGGGATGTCCGCCAGGCAGAGCTTAGAGCCTCACGAAGCGGGAAGTGGAGGATAGAGACAGAAAGAGGAAACCTCCTTCCAGATGCCTTCCCAGGAGTAACCGGCGAAGCTTACCGGCTAGTGTTTGTAAGAAACGAGATAGTATACAGCACAGGTTGGTGAGGAGAGAGATTGTCTCTGTAAATACCTAGCAATGTGTTTGGTTTGGGATGTAGAGTCTATACCTTGCTGCTGCAATCGCATCATCGCCTACAACTTTTCTGAATTAAGATCTTTACCGCTATCATGTCGTAGTAATGAAGTATAATGGTCAAAACTGGGTGTGTGTAAAACTAGAGAGACATCCATATTCATACATGTACACATTCACCTACATGTTTTGGTCTGTGGTTTAAGACTATTTCAAGGATGTTTTTATAAGTAGAGTTCAAGATGAAAGAAAACCCTAAACACAGTAGATTGTGAGTTTTTCATGTGTATTTTAAAGCAGAGTTTCTGATAGTACTGTATCTGGCTACCTATTTCCAGATCTAAAGCAAGAACTGCTCTGACTGCTGCATTTGCATTCCTCCATTAAGAATGGCCAGGGCAAATGGAGCTAGCCATTTACTTCACAGTCACCATAGTGGGTATTCTGGTCTTTGGGGCCAACTGTCCAAAGGGTCAGTTGTCTTTGTCTCTGAATTCCATGTTTGGTCTTCACATGAGGACGAGCAGGGACTAAACACACATCAGCTTTATTTCTGTTCTTTCTTTCTCTTCTTTTCAAGCTCTTACACTCAGGCCTCTCTGCTGTGAGTGGCAAGTCCAACCACATTTTGTGGTTCTGCACTAGCCTTGTTCTGGAGTAAAAATTGCTGGCTGCACACAACTCTGCTAGTACTTAGGTCAAGTGATATAAGCATCAGGCATTGGAAGAGGTTTTAAATTTGCTTTTTTTTTTTTGAGGAAAAGAAATGGGGGGAGGTGGATTTGGGCATCATAGCATATATACTAAAGAATAATCAGGACATCAGATACATTTTAAACATAGCTGGGGCCTTATGTTGTAGGTGAAACCTGCTGTTTTGAGCAAGTTTCCTGGGTTTCACATTCGTTTCTGATGCATCGAGTAGCTCCATACAGTTCATAACACGATCTCTTTATTTGTATGCAAAGAAAAAAATTCTGTACTAATAAAGAGCAGCATTTTTGTAACAAAGACTTAATGGAGCTATTTGGTGCTTGAATGTGACCATCCTTTTTTACTTTTTGCTAAGCCTTATTTAAATTTTGTATACCATGAAATGTGTAGAATTTGTCAAACCATTTTTAGTGCTGAGGGGTTTTTGATTTTTTTGTTGTTGTTGTCGTTGCAGTTTGGGGGGTGGCTTGTTTTGAATTGTAAGATGGCACTTGCTGACATAAGTACTAAGGCACTAAGAGACAATGCAGATAAGTATTTATTAGATGTTTGGGATCCTGGACAGGACTTTGGTTTTATAAGAGGAAAAAAATGACCAATAAATAACCAATCTAGCACCAACTCCCCTCTCCCCTGGTGATGTCTCAGTATCTTTGTGCTATAAAGTTGTTTATGTAAGCACAGCATCATCGTACAGCCCTGTGGATTATAAATCGTTTGGCAAGGCTGTAAACACTCCAAAAACAAAGACATTACTGACTTTGCAGTTGTCCTTCCTTGTAAAGTAAGTTGGCAATGGCAAAAAAATAATAATAATAAAGAAAAAGAAAAAATGTCTTCTCTGCCCTTCTCTACCCCTACACAATTGTTATCTATTCCCAAATTTTTAGCTCTTCCTCATCATTACACTGTGAAACTGTCAAAGAAACAAACATATTTTTTCACAAGAAGTTAAAATGAGTTTCAAAAATGATCTCAACACTTATGATACATATCTGTTTAGCAGTTGTCATAACCTAAGCTTTCAACACTAAAGACATCAAGGCAGGTCTATCCAGGAGATAGTTCATGGTTTACAACCTTGTTTTTTTTTTCTTTTCTTTCCACTGTCCAGTTTTCTTTGAAGCACAACTAGCTGCTTGTTTACAAAGGATATTTTTATGTATATTTTGTATAGTGTACTATCATTTTTTGCCAAATATGTTTTTTGCATTTTGGATGAGTAAAGAGTACTTAAGGTTGCATTCATGTGATACCTGTTTGTTGTTGTGAGACTCTCCAATCAGCTGGTTAGAAGTTCTGTGTTTGGTTTGCTCAGTCTCTTTGTGGTTGTTAAGATGTGCTCCTCGGTAAGTGCTCCCAGCTGTAGACTTACCAGCTTAAAAGTTTGTTAGGATCTGTGCAATAAAGTGTTTGCAGTCTTATTTTCTCTAAGAAATCCCCTCCCCCATGGATGTCATAATTGTTGTATACTGAACAAATATTTATACTTATGCAGTTGCATAATATTGAATAAAATTTAGCATGAAAAGATGGCTATGTGTTTTTCAAATACATATCACCTCAGAAATATTAACAATTATTATTCTTTAACACAGAGGGTGGGTTTTCAAGAATTGGTTTTTGGTGAATGGAATGTTTTACCTTTTTTTCTTTAGGCCTACACAAGTAGTTCGTCCTCTCCTCTTTCTCCTCCTCCTTCTTTTCCTTCTCCTCCTCCTCTTCCTCCTCCTTCTTGTTTTAATAAAAATTCATTCTTGTGGAAGCTAACCAGAGTACTCCCAATAACCTGATACCTTTTACTAAGCCTCTATCTAACACTGAGCTCCAGTGTTCCTTCATTGCTTGCGTTAAGAAACCAAAACTTAGAAAAGAGAGATTAAGAGACTAACCCTGCTGGTTGGCAAGACTAGGACTTGAACTTCTGCAATCTGACTGGCCAGCCCACACACTTACCGTCTATCACTAGCCACGACTCCCTTTTTCTCTTACACTGCACAATCATAAGTTACAAGAGGAAAGAGGACAGAATCATGATACATAATACAGTTCTCACTGCATAATCAGTTCTCGCTGATTAGAGAGCAACTCTCTGCTGAATGTCTCATTTTAAAACAGCAATTATGGAAGTGATCATTTTATTGGTACTTAATAAGCTAAACTACATCTCAGGGCCAATATTAACGGTAAGAACTGCTTATAAAACTTCAGAATGAATACATACCCTTTAGTGAAACAAAAGTTTAAACTTTCAGAAGAACCTACTTTGATCCAGACTGGCCTGGGCAAAAACCACATACGTCACTAAAGAGCAGGCATGGACAATCACTTTCCTGTTAGCTTGGTCACTGGGATATAATGTCTTGTGCCATGTTTTTACATGGGGCTACTTGAGTTTTCTTTAATGCAACTGTAGTTAAATGCATTTGAAATTCTAGTATTTCTCAAACAGACTCTGAGGGCAAAATTTTTTCTTAAACCCAAGGCATTGTTTTTAGTAGACCACTAACAATGTAAGCAATAAGGAGATGCAATTAATGGAGATTACAGATTCTCTCCTGCAGTAAGAATAGGAGTTGGGTAGGGTTATGGGTTCAAGAGGATCAGAGAATTTATGAGCTGGATATAGGTATTAAATGAGGAAATTGAGTTGACACCAACCTCCTACACATGTGGGACAATTACACTGGGCACACAACAACCAAGCCCTTGTAAGAGGAAAATGGTTGATGACTTGAGATATAGCAACCTATCTGTCCTTAAGCATGCACTAGAATTACATGAAAATCTTGCACATTCTGATCAGAAGGGCCGAGTCCCACTGAAAATCCTGAGAATCTAATAAGCTCTTTATGAAGTCAGATGCTGCCTGCCTGATCACACCAAGAAATAAGAATCTGAAGACTGGGTATTCAGGCATCTGCAATTTTAACAAACCACCTCTCAGGCAGCTGCCATGTGAGTCACAGTTGAAAAGCAAAGAAGAAAATTTCTACCCACAAGTTGACACTTTGCTTACCTCACTCCTCCACCTCCGCGTGAGAAATTCCAGAGCATTTTTACTTCTCATATAAATGGTGGGTCCTTACCTCGACCTTGAAGACCCTTCCTACTCACAGTGTGGTTCTCACCTGAGGAACATCCATATCACATAGTAGTGTACTAGAAATGCAAACTCTTCCACCTCACCCAGACCTGTGATTTTTTTCCCTGCATTTTAACAAGGACCGTAAAGTTGTTTGCCCATTAAAGTTTGAGAAACTTGGTTAGAAAATTTCCTTCAAGATAGTTGTCTTGGTTATTTATTAAACACACAAGTTTCCTGGGCCTATCACTGATCCAGTGACCCAAAGATCTTCCAGGAGAGGCCTTGGAAACAGTTTATCATCAATGTGTGGGAAGAGCAAGTTGTTCTCATAAGAGAGTCACAAGCAATTCTGGTCTAAGTTCTGTACATCCTCTATGCTCAAACTGCTATAACTAAAGCATCATCTCCTAACTATTTCTTGAGCTTCTTGACCATAGAAAATTCAACGCTAAAAGGCATTGAAACTATAAGGAAGAAAGAACTTAAATACACATTGTTTGCCTAATCTGGGCTCTGTGCTTTTTATCTGCCTTCTTATTCGAGCCTCCACATAATCTTCAAAGCGTGTGTGGTAGTGTCCCTATGTTTCAGATGAGGAAACAGCTCCACACAGCTACATCGTTTGCTTAAGAAACTAAAGACAGTTTGGATTAGAATTCAGATTTTCTGGTTCTAAAGTTCTAGGCTATTCTAAACACCAAATTTCATGTAAATGAATTCAGATCAAGAATATAAGCCATCTGTTTTCCCTTTTCCTTTAATGCAGAAAAGTCATGCATTTCTAAGTTACAAACATGGTGATTGGTGGGAAAGCATGAGCAAGTAAAACTAATCATTCTCTGTAATAGAGCTCCTGCAATAGTTTTAATTAATCAGCAGGCAATTTTGCATCTGGCATTTTCGGTTCACAACACAAATGCAACAGTAAAAAGCACAGCTATATTAAATATGGAAATTTGCTCCCTTAAATATAGGTCAAACATTAAGAAATCCAATAATAGGGCAGTCCCTTAATTTCCCTCCTACTAGTATGTTCAAGTCATTCCTGAAACAGTCATTTTGCAAGTCCTCTCTACCTGCTACTCCAGTATACACATTTTATATGTAGAAAGTCTAAATACGACCAAGACTTCAGTGAGCCTGGCTTCATTACTGTTTACATATTAAAGCCAACTATCCTGGCCCAAGTTCAGATTCTTCTTGTAATTGATTCTCTATCATACCCAATGCATTCATGCATATGCAGTAAAAAGAATTAGTAATTGCAAACTCCTGTTCAGCTAGCCAGTAATCCGGCACCCCATAACCGGGTAAACTAAAATACTGAGTGAGAACAAGGGCCTAAAAGTTTAGTTACTAATCTAGTACTTCAAATGAAAATGATAGGCGCAAGGAAAAAATAAGAAGTATAAGAGTCTCATTATGTCAACCTTGTTCTGGCATCTTGAATAAATTTGTTCATATCTTAAGATGTCCTCTGCTTCTGGGGAAGCTGGTCTTCAGGTGGCTTTGCTTTAAAGTTCCAACAGGTGTACTATTCTAGTAGTCCAGGACACTCTGAAGTTGTAAAATAAAGATGCTAGTCACAGCCCTGAAGTTTAATCTAGGTGGAGAAGTGAGAAGGAACAGTCACAAAACCAGGCAGTTTTCGCAGGATTAGTGTGATTCAGTATATTTTATGATCAGTTAGAATACAGATCTTTTAGCCGTGAAGTTTTAAAGACTCAGGAAAGACCAGGCAGGAGTTTTTCAGTGAATTTATGCTTCAGACAAATTAAATTCCTTTCAGATACCATTTTTGTCTTTCTACTTCATAATATAGTGCCCTCCATTAAGCAGGCTGTTAGAAGCAGTCTGCTTTGGATCAACCTTGAAGAGGTTAATCAACCTCAAATTGTACATCTCAGCAATCTAACTGGTTCAGTGTGAAGATGGGAAACACATTTAGCTGTTGTTCAGAAAACTCCTGCCTGATGCTGGAGTAACAGTCCTATAAACAGTGACCTCGTTAGCATTCTAGGAATTCTTGCCTTACAGATAAGGCCCCAAAGTTTTCTGAAACCTGCATTTGGCTGAGTCCTGTCTATGAATTTTCCTAAAGATAAAAGCATTTCAGGCCAGAGAAAGTAATTAACCATCTGTTAAATAGCGAGATTTCATCACAACAAGGATGGAATTGAGAAGGAAACTCAGGAGGTATTGCACACATGCCTTAAGGCTATAAGAATTATGACTGACAGCATTAGATCTCAGATTTCTATGAAATGTATGGGTTTTTTTCTGAAACATACTAACACATTCCTCCAAAAGCAATTCAAACACTATCCAGAACCACCTATTTCACAGTGACTTCTGCACACATTACTTTTTCAAATGGACCTAATGAGTATCTCCCTTTCCGAGGTTTTAGGACGCCTTTGGAACGTTTCATAGTTCTTAATCACTTAGGATCTGATTCTAGGAAACTTAGAAATAAAGGCTTAAAACTCTTTATCAACATAAAATAACATGGATTCAAATTATTTGGCCTACTTAATTTTTATACTAATGCTCATTTCTCAGCACAAACATAATTCTCTTCTGATTTTAACCAGCTTGTCACATAAGGCAGGTTCACATTCAGTTATATTTCATATGTGTTTTCTGTCCCCTTTGAAACAGTTATTCTACAATAAAATTAGTTCTCCTAAAAGAAGGTGTACATCTCCCATACTTTAGCTTCTTCCACCCAAACCATG